CCTCTTCAAAACAGATGGAAATTTACACAATATTCAACATATTCAATTTTTAAACTTTCAGATGCACAATTTTTCCTCATGTGTTTCAAGTTCCTCATTATTTATTTTGAGCTGACTTTGAGAAATAGATTTGAATTATCAAATACTTTGTAATAGCTTAATCTTTCATTTCATTTTGCATATGTATAAAATAGTTTTGGATTTTTTGTCAAGTTTTATGTACAATTTTAATTCAAAATTCATTCATGGAATCACATCACAGCAGCAGATTGGCTGACAACTGATGTTAAAATTCTGCACAAAATCTGATAAGACACCCAAAAGTGCAGTTGAATAGGACAATAGCACAGATGTCACACAAAACTTTCTTCTGGCTTCTAAAAAAATACCATTATTGTCAGCTCCATTTCTGAAGTGGGATTTTCTTTTATTATTGAGTGGGAGGGCTTGAGAATTTTTCCTTCTGGGGCTGGGAAACAGTTTCCGGCACCGCCTGAATATTGTGTGGGTGGACTGTATATAGGAAGTGAATTCAATGCCTTTTACAGCTGTGAGGGGAGGCTGAGTGGGAGGGCTTGAGAATTTTTCCTTCTGGGGCTGGGAAACAGTTTCCGGCACCGCCTGAATATTGTGTGGGTGGACTGTATATAGGAAGTGAATTCAATGCCTTTTACAGCTGTGAGGGGAGGCAATTGTTGCCTCACTCTGTATATATGTATAGCAGTCATTGTTTTTCTCCCTTAGGGGTCAGTGCTCTTGCTCACTTTCATCCACCTGCTGATTCTGAGTAGCTTTCCTTCTTGTTCATCATTTCATAACCCTCCTTTATATATTCAAGCAAGTGGGTGAGACTGGAGGAACAATATACTTCCCATCCTTTGTGCACTCTGATTTCATTTTTATATATTTCTCCCATCATTTGAATTTATCCAGATTTTTTTTAAAGCTTTCTCAAGAAGATTATTTGCCCAGGAAATTGGAGATGAATCTGGGATTGGAAGCAAATAAGTCTGCCATCCAGTCACTGAATTTCACTCAGCAAAATCTCTTTCTGTAGTGTCCTTCTGTTTGCTTACATAATTCTGTATGCAAAATTCCTGTCTTTTATGGATAGAAAGTATTTTGGAAGTACAGTAGAATTCTCTCATGAGAAATATAATTGGAAAATTTGATTTTACTGTGATCAAATTTCTGGAAAGTCCCAGAAGAAATTGGATGCATATACACTCCAGTATATTAACATTGAAGAATCCTGGTGTCTGAGACACTTGAGTCTCAAACAAAGAATGAACTCCTCTGAAAAGAGTTTGAGTTCTTATTCAAAACTTGCATTCTGACGGCTGCACTATTCAATTCCAAACAATTGTCCCTTGTCTGGGATCCAATGGACCCATGACACACTGCACTATGAATGCAGCCCAGATTCTGTTGCTTCAAATTTTCTGGATACAGTAAACATCTCTGATGAGATGAATAACATGTACATGTTGTTCCCTGATCATGCACAATTCAAACTTGGATGTTCTGAATGTAAAAATTAGATGGTAAAATGCCTTCAATATTTCAAAAGCCGTGCACAAGTTCATTGTGATGGCATTTTACAATTTGCAGTGCCTGGCTTTCACTGAAAGTACATTTTATCTCAAGGATTCCAAACTTTTGAATCATGGAAAAATAATAAAGCAATGTTAATTGGTTTGAAAATAATTGAAAAACTAATTTTTTGATAATTCATACTACAGGACTATCAAGAGTACCTTCATCTAATTTTGTTCCTATTAGATGATGCCACAGATACTGTAATTTTGTTTGGTTACTGTTGACAAGGTGTTTCCTCATGTATAATAGAACTTTAAACTCACCAGTTTCACCCTCAGTCTGTTCACTGTCCCCACCCAAGAGACCATTGTTTGGGTAGTACAACTCAGTCCTGTCAATGCCTTGCTTTGCTGGTTGCTGGTAATAAGGCCTTTGTTGTTGTTTAACTCACCAGTTTCACCCTCAGTCTGTTCACTGTCCCCACCCAAGAGACCATTGTTTGGGTAGTACAACTCAGTCCTGTCAATGCCTTGCTTTGCTGGTTGCTGGTAATAAGGCCTTTGTTGTTGTTGTTGTTGTAACTGAGGCCTTCTTTGACCTGCTAATGCCTGTTGCTGCTGAGGTGGTGGCTGGTAGTAGTTGTTGTAATATTCTGCTGGGAACTGCTGCTGCTGCTGCTGGAAGTGGTTGAGAAAGAATTCAAGAGAAATAAATTAATTATCTGAAGAAAATTCCAAGAAGGACAGAATGAAACTCACATGTGACCTTTGATGATGCAATTTTCAACAAAAAAATGTTTCATTTATCTAAAAAAAACTTGAAGAAATTTCATATTCCTTATTCTTTCAGCATTCCTCAATATGATTAAACTGAGATGTAAAAAGGTTAAAAATTACAATTGACCACGCTCAAGGTACCTACCAGCATACAACAGATTTTGCACAGCAGACCACCTCTGTAGGCAAGTTTTCTTCCTGCACAATGGACTGAATCTGCATAACAGACTTCTGTTGGTTTAAAATTATTGGTAGAAAGTAAAAATTTTATTTTTTAAATAATTGAATTTGCATAACATACTTTTTGCACAACAGACTAGTCTGTCACACAAATTAAGACAGTTGTGCTAGGGTTGACCATATTTCTAAAACTTGCAATTGTAAAAAACAAGATTTCATTCAAATGCATCATGATACTGTACCTGAAAATTATTCTGGTTTGAAATGGGAGCACCAACATTGATCCTGGCATCAATTTCCTCAGTGGCATCAGTCACTGATGGTGGATTTCCATTGGAGTCTCCAAACAAAATAGCCTTTCCTTGTCTACTTGAAGTTTCTTCAGATGAGGACTTGTTCCCTTCATCCCCAAATTTTATTGACTGGGCAGTTGTTGAGTCAGTGAGCAGAAATGCTGCCACTGACAGCAGACTTCCCAGTGCTGCCCATCTGGCAAGTTTTGTTCTGGATAAAAGAAAAATTGACTTGCAAAACTGGTGCATGAACTTTTTTCACTGATAAAAACACCAACAGATTGAAATTGAAAAATACAGCACGTATATTTTTTAATTGCTAAATTACATTGGGGAGAAACTTTCATACAATCCTTCATATTAAATCACAGTTCAAACGTTATTCTTAGGTTGGAATCATATGTTCTGCCAGTCATGCATTCCTGTATGGTCAAAGTTGAAAACTTGTCAAATGGATGTACTGTATATACAATATAAGCATACATTTAATGAATAAAGCAGCATCCTGCCAAATCAACAAGGGTGTCTTCATTTTTAATAACTTATGTGAAAATTATGTTTACAGCATAGACACAATGTAATTTGATTATCAAATTGACACACCTTTTTTCAAATTTTTTTTTCAAAATCCCCTTTTTGTAAAAATATTTTACTTCACTCAGAATTTATTTCAACACTATTAAAATTGTATCATGCAGGTTTTCATTTATTTCAGAAACCACCCAAACTTAAAAAGCAATGTTGCAATAATGTAAGAAAGTCCAATAATTGAGCTGCCAAATTTTCAAGTGGATTTTTTAGTTTTCACAGTAACAAAATCCTTCAAGGAATTGGAACTTTATTGTAATGAAATGATTCAACATCTGATAGTCATGTCCCACTTGTAAACTTTCAATGTTTTCACTATTTCTATTCAAGATGCTGACATTGCACAAAATATTAATTTGGACTAAAAAAATATTTCAGAGTGAGCTGAAAAATACATTTGGAAGCATTTTTCTAACCCTAAAAGAATGGATTCCTCATCAGCTTGGAATTTTTATATATTATGACCAAGAAAGTTTGACACAAAAAATATAATTTCTAAGTACTATCATTTTGACAAAAATCCCTCACATTCAACCACTTTTCGTTATTCTTTCCTTGGACATCATAAGCTAAAAAAATAAATTCATAGTAGGAGTAATACTTTGTTTCAAACTCACTGCATCATAGTTGATTATCCACTTCAACACCACCAGCAATAACACAAAAAAAAACTGTTTTGAAGTTGACAACAGTTGAAAGTGAACTGATCCAAGAAAGAGGCTGGTCAAGCTTTTATATGCGAGCTGAATCTTGGGAAAACAGTTTTTTTTTATTTCAATTCAATCGCGATTCACGAATATTTTTTTTTCTTTTCAGCAAACCCGGATCTGCTGAAGGCGGGAAGAAAAAAAGATTGCAAAATACCTGGTGCTGGGAATGGGAGGGGGTGTGAGTGAAGCTTTACCCCAATGCTGTCATATACAGTGCGTACAGCCAGGGTTGCCAGAGGCCGAAGGAATTTTTTTTTTTATTGCTTGCACCAGGATGTTCTTCTGGAGTATTTTTCCGGGAAGAGACGGGAAACCGGAACCGATAAGAACAAACGCTTTTCTGTGTAAAAAATGTTGGGTAATTGAGAGCTTTATTGTTCGGGGTGGGGAAAACCCCGGTCCGGGAGCAGGTTTCGTTGGTGCTGTTCCAGAACGCGACCCACGTAATGTTTCAACGGTGACTGACCTTGACATGATGATTATGGAGTGTGCGTGTGACGCCTGGAATTCTGCGATTTTAAACACAGTGGGCCATCACTTTACAAAACATCAGTGCAAAAAATCATTTAAAATTTTTTTAGGGAGAGAAAGAGTTTCAACTACAGAAACACAATTGTTCAGCAGAAAATGGAAATGTAGAGCTAGCACTTTGAAATTAGTGAGATATTCAAGGCACATGAGCAAATACAGGTTTTCCTCATCTTCTTGACTTTTAAATTTAAAAATGCCAGATAGTTATGAGTAGAAAATTGAAAGAAATTCTTCAATTCTATTATGCTGATCATTTATAAATTTACAATATGATTCTTTTAAAAAATGTTGCATTTTAAGGTTTGTAAGGAGAGCTGGGAACAGATTGAATATGGTTAAATTATAACTCAAAGAAACCACATGACAGAAACAAATCCAGAACATTTTGTTTTTGCTATGTGGAGGACTCACTATTCTAAATCGCATAAACAATTATTTTTTCAAAGTTACTTGTAGAAACTTCATGAAAACAGGCTTTGTTTCATTAATCACTGTATGACAGAGTAATAATACACATGAACCTGGATAAGTCAAACCACTGTAAGTGGAAGAACTCTTTAAGTCAATTTCTTTCAAGTCCCTGCCTGAATTCCCTTTGACACAATGCATTAAAACCCTCCTTAACTTGAAGGCTTTTCTGCTAAAACCTCCATAAGTAAGATTTTCTGACACCACTTAGCTATTATTTTCTTGACTCAGGAAGAAATAAAGCAACAAAAAAGAGTATTTGATGCTTTTTGAAAGGAAGTGACAGACTCAATTTGGCCAATGAACCCCTGCCTCAAAGTTCAGCATCCTTTCAACTACTTTTATAAGAAATTTAATGCCCATAACATCACCATTTACAATTTAGTGCAATTCTTCTGTGTTTCCCACAACAAAAATGCTTGGTTCCAGAGCTCAAACATCTGTAACTGAAAAACATGTCAAAACTTCCCTATGTCAAAATTTTTTACTGGTCATTCAAAATCCCACTTATTGAGGTTTGGCTGTAGTAAAGAAAAGGTGATTTCTCATATGATTTTCCCTAAGATTTTTTCAATAAGGCTTCAAAGTACTTCTAGAAATAAGTTTGACATTGGTCAGTCACTTATTAAAACAGTGCCAGTGTTTTTTTTATTGGTGTCCCTCCTGATCATTCTCTCTCCTGTTTTCATGGGTCTCTTTATAGGGATGATGTAGAAGAGAGTGGATTATGTGGCGGGAACTGAGGGTTGCGCAACTCAGTTCCCTCTCAGCTGTTAACCAGAGCACGTAGTTTATTCAACCTGAGAGTAAAGGCTTCACAGGAATTTATTCAGTAAACTTACACAGGCAATTAAACAAAGTCCTCAAAAGCCCTTCCAGCTGGGACTGTAAATCTAAAAAAGTGCCCAAGTCCAGCCAGACATTCTACATCTGTTAAAGAGCCACATCATCCCCAGGAATGATATGTTTCATGAAAAGATGCTACTGAAAGAAAAGTGACTCAGAGCACAGATTTTTTGTCACTACACAGAGCAATTTCCACGTGAAATATTTTCAGCACAATATGAGTTTCAACTGTTGAATTTGTCTTGAGGTAAGGCCAAAAGTGAATACCAGAAAACAAAATTGGAGAGTTATATTCTTCCATCCAAAACTTTCTTCAAAATTGTTAGGATTGCTTGCATTTATCACTGATCAATTTCACAATGGTATAACTTGCAGAAATACAAATCTTTTGAATTTCAGTCAAATGCTTGCTTGTTAATGTCCAAAATGGATTAAATGCTTTTTACTCAAGCAGAACAATATTTTAGATCAAAGACCTTGTCATAAAACTGACTAGTAGTTGACCCACACACAACAGACCTCCTGCACAACAGACTGCCTCTGGGGGCCATTTTCCCTCCTGTGCAATGAACTAAATCTGCCTACCATACTTCTGTTTGCTTAAAATTAATGGTAAAAGGTAAAAATTTCAAGTTTTTAATAATTGAATTTTTACAACAGACTAGTATGCTCCACAAGTGAAATATGTTGTGTGAGGGTTGACTGTTTATACATTATGCAAGAAGCCAGGGTTTTATAAACTAAAATAGGTACTTTCCTGTTATCTCAGTACCTACTTTCCGTGCACCTACCAGAAACTGTGAATTTTGTTTTTCTACATTCTGCTGAAACTGATTTTGGGAGGTGGTTAGGAGGTCAGGTTATGTTAATTGAAAGATATTTGTAACTAAAATAATCTGACCTAACCTAACTTTACCTAACTGCCTCCCAAAATCAGTTTCAGCAGAATGGGGAAAAATAAAATTCAGNTATGTTAATTGAAAGATATTTGTAACTAAAATAATCTGACCTAACCTAACTTTACCTAACTGCCTCCCAAAATCAGTTTCAGCAGAAACCCAAAGAAAGCAGAAACTGATTTTGGGAGGCGGTTAGGTGAAGTTACGTTAGGTCAGGTTATGTAAGTTACAAATATCTTTCAATTAACATATCCTGACCTAACCTAACCTAACAAATGCTGAATTCACGAGACAAAGAAAAATGGGTACTGAGATAACAGGAAAGTACTTTAAAATAGGCATGCCTTCAATTATGACAAGAAGAATTCATGTCAATATGTAATTTTCATCAGGGCCAAATTGCAAAGAATTTTCCCCCAAACCAGATAAATTGACTCATGAAGAGAGTGATTAAGTGAACATCAAAATAAACATGCTGCAAACCAGGAGATAAACATGGACAACTACTGAAGTGAAAGAATAATAGATGAGGTAATGAGTATTAAGAGTTTTCCTGGCAGAGGAACTGGAGATGAATTTGGTTGGTATCCATTGCATAAGTCATGACTTGAGCAGTGACAAGTCAGGTACCCTGGATGGAAAACTTCACAGCCCAGTTTGTCATTGCAGAAGCTGCAGGTTCTTTGAATAATTTTGGCTGAATATAAAAAAACAAAATCATCACCACTAGACTCTTTTTTTTTTTTTGCAATTGGAAGCCTTTGAAAGACATTTCCAGTGAAGGAGCATATTATAACATACAAATCAGTGGTATTGGGTTTCTAGAAAAGAGTTGTCTCATACTTTTCTGATGAGAATTGTGTCTTCAAAATGATAAATGTCTTTAGTTTGTTTATCCTGGGCATACATCTGTTTATATTGGGTAAATGTCACCGTCAGTTGCAAAAGGAAATTATTTCTGCACTGATCCATTGGCCTTTTACACTTGCTGTTGGAGGATTTATAGGGTTCCAGTTGATAATTCATCAATTTTCACTAATTTTTTACACTTTAAGCTATGCAATGAGTTTCTGAAAATGCCAGAAAAGGTTTTTTTTAAATAAAGTGTTGAGTGAGTTAAACTTGCCTTTTTTCAGGTCATACATGCTGCTGCAAATTGCCCTAGCATCACATTCCACAATTTCTCCACGCTTCCAGCCTTTCCCACTGGGACATGGCTGACTTCCTGGGGTTCCACATTCAAAACACTTGATCTTTCTTCCCACTTGAAAGGAAAAAAAATTGGGATTCAAGGTCACTACAGTAATGCACTAGAAAGCTTATTATTGATGGATTCAGTTGGGCATACAATCTTAAAAGGTTTTTAAACACAAAGAATACTGTGAAGATGTTTTGAAAAGTTCAGAAAACAAGTCAGTATAACATGCATTGCTGGATATGAGTATTTTTAGGGGTACTCACAAGTGTTGCAGGAATTCCCCTTCTGGGCAATTGCCAAGTGAGCAACAAGAATTACTAGCAAAAAGCTAAATATGCTTTTCTCCCAGAAGGCTCCCATTTTGAATGTGATGCACAATGAAAGTTTTGACCATGCAAATAATTTAGATGGGAGACATTGAATTTTGCAGGGATTAACCAGGTTGGTTCTTCAGCAGAGCAGGTTGCATTGTCACATTACACAGAGAAACTTTCTGTGATCATCATAATGCATTGATGAAACCTGCTGAAATGGGAAATAAATTACATGCACAATTTGAGAAACACTTGTTTTTATTTACAGCTTCAACAATTGTGATACACACTTCTGCCTAAGGCTTTTTCACAATTCTTTGAAAGATCTAATTATTACAGGATACCTTCTTGTATGAGAGGACTGAGTCAGTTCCAGAAACTTGAAATTCTTGAACTGAATAAACAAATCAAATTTTTTTTATATAGAACATCACAGCACCTTTTTCCATGACCCAGGGTTTTTTTTCTCTTGGGGTACTTTTTGCTCATTGTCTGAGAAGCATTTGCAAGAGAAATAATTTTTCTTTTTTCTTCACTCTGCTTGTTCTTCACTTGAGGACTGACTGAACCCCTTGAAATCGGTTCCTCCAGGATGCGGGTAAGTTTTTGATCCAGCAAAGATTACAGAGTTTTGACTATCCACTGAGGAATCTGTACCCAGGGATTCTAAATGCTCAGGTCTGGGTCTCTTGAGGATGCTGGGTTGTTGAGGTGGGCCAGGCAAATCAGAGAATTGTCTTGGTGGTGGAGGAGGCTTGAAAGTTGGTGGATGCTTGTTCTTCAGGCTTTCTTCTTGCTCTGAACCACTTGGTGAGTGCCTCTGACTCCCTGGTGTGGTGTCTGGCAAGACCTTGAATGGTGCAATGAAATTTAAATTATACATCAAAATTAAGTCATCACCATCACACTCCTATTCAATGGCATAGATTTTTAGCAACAGGTTCCCTGATATTGAGTGTCATGTGGAAAATATCCATCAACAACACATTCACAAAACCCAGAATGTTTATTGCCAGGGAGTATACTTGCATATGTGCCATCATAGGTATGTATCATTGTTAGTATCTAATTGTCAACATTTTTTATAAGTTTGAGATTGTTTTATTGATTCTTTGCTTGGAGTTAATTATTAGCTTTTTTTGGTGTTGGGTGATGTTGGATGGTTTGTAGAAACTTTTTTTTAGTTGGTACTGGACATTATTTTCTTTAGTAGGTCAGGTCTTGATTGTGAAGTCAGATGTTATTGAAATTCAGGTCATATGCTACTTTAGGTTGGATGTTAGGAAAGGTAGTCATTTTAGGTTAGGTCAGATATTAGGTCAATATTTGGTTTATTGAGATATCATGTCAAATGGTTCGTTAATTAAGATATAGGGTCAAATGGTTGGTTGATTGAGATATCAGGTCAAATGGTTGATTAATTGAAATATCAGGTCAAATGATTGATTAATTGAGATATCAGGTCAAATGAGGTATGAGGCCAAATTCTGTATCAGGTCAAATGATTGATTAATTGAGATATCAGGTCAAATGAGGTATGAGGCCAAATTCTGTATCAGGTCAAATTAGTTATCAGCAGGTCAAATGAGGTATCAGGTCAAATGAGGCATCAGATCAAATGAGGTATCAGGTCAAATGAGGTATCAGGTCAAATGAGGTATCAGAAGGTCAAATGAGGTATCAGGTCATATGAGGCATCAGGTCAAATGAGGTATCAGGTCAAATGAGGCACCAGGTTAAATGAGGTATCAGGTCAAATGAGGTATCAGGTCAAATGAGGTATCAGGTCAAATGAGGTATCAGGTCAAATGAGGTATCAGGTCAAATGAGTTATCAGCAGGTCAAATGAGGTATCAGGTCAAATGAGGTATCAGGTCAAATGAGGTATCAGGTCAAATAAGTTATCAGCAGGTCAAATGAGTTATCAGCATGTCAAATGAGGTATCAGATCAAATGAGGTATCAGGTCAAACAAGGTATCAGGTCAAATGAGGTATCAGGTCAAATTATGTATCAGGTCAAATGAAGTCTACTCACTTTTGGATAATTGAGTTTCTTGATGGTGTCCATGGCATCTCCACCTTCAAAAGGATTCAGTCCCAACCTGGAATCCCTTCCTTCAGACTCATCCCTTGATGTTACATTGACATCCTCAACAACAACAGCTGCTGCTGCTGGAGGTGAAGGTGGTGGAGGAGGCAGAGGTTCTTCCTCCATGAACTCTTCCCTGTGGTCTTCAATGTCCCTTTGGCGCCTTAGCTGGTGCCTGAGAGATCCCCTGGACCCACTTGAAGACCTTTTGGCAGCAGGTGCTCCAACTCCTGGATGGCGCCTGCTGCTGCTGCTACTGTTGTCTGCACTTTGATATTGATACAAAGGAGTTGTGATGGGTGTCTGGTGATCCTGGTGTGGGTCCATTTGCAGAGAGTAAGGAGAGTGTTTTGGTTTCTCTCTGGGATGCCTTGTACGCTTTCCAGATGAGGCCCCTGATGCTGGGTTTGGCATGGTGGGGCTTGCAGCTGCCATCTATATAAATTAGAATGGTCACACAGAAAGCATTTCAGAATGTCTTCAAAATTCAGTTAGAACCCAAAATACAGACACCCCCCAGCATATGGAGAATTTGCCTTGGGGACTTGTGCAAAACTTTTGAAAATTTGACCCAACATCTGGGCAATATCTCAAAATATATATGGACACTTCTCCAAAATTTCTAGATAATTGAACATTTTTCACCTTTTCAAATTTTGAATATCTCTTGAAAAATTTCAACTATTTATATTAACACATTTTAGAAAGGAATTTCAGTACATATTTAATCAACTTTATTATCCAAAACAGGTTAAATTTTGTGCTTCTTTTTTGGAGCACCCCTGATCACATGTGCAAAGGATAGCAAACATTGTACTTTTTGTTCAATTTTTGGAGCTCTTTTGAAGCCAGAAGATCAGAGTCTGTGTGGTTTTCTTCATTCTGAACAGTTATAGAGTGAGGCCCCAAAATATGGGCACCCTGAAGTATGAATGATTCAGTTAAATACCTTTAGGATTGGCAATAAATCTGCCCCCAGCATTTTGACAGTGACCAAAGATACAGACACTTTTCTACAATATAGGTGGTACCTTGCAATTCAATCTCCGGCAATTTGACCATCCGGCAACCCCATGGTTAAATTTGCAGGGAGGTTGACTTGCAATTTGATATCTGCCCAAGACTTTGACCTGCTTTGGCAAATTTTTTCATTTTTGTGTTGACATATCTAAATCTTATGAAATGCCTTGCAATTCAACTGCTTTTCAATTCAATAGTCCAGCAATGGATTAGGGTTGAATTGCAAGGTACCACCTGTATATGGAAAACTTAAATAAAATACTGTATACATATTCATTGAATAAGTTGAGTAATTGTATTTATATTTAAATTTGGTGGAAATAAATTTCATTATAAAATTACCATAATTCATTATAAAAAAACAGGCTAATTTTGGGGTTTTTTAGTTTCATCCCATGGTGTGTTCTCAGCAGAGCAAGACTTGTTTTTGTCATTTGATGTTTAAGCTCCCTTCTGATCCCAGAAGATCACATTCTTGTGGTTTTCCTCTGTACATTTATCTTATTTTTCTTGCAGTTGAGAACAAATGACTTTATTCAATGTTTTGAGGGACTTATTACATTTTCATACCCAATACAACCAATTAATAATATTCCCATTGAAGTCCAAGCAGAAAAAAGGTCCAACATGTGGATTTAATGACTTAGGGACAATGTCCATGCACCAATTATGTCTGCATCTCAGAGTCCCACTGCATTCTTTATTTTAAAGTTGAGAAACATATCTCATTTGATTCTTGGGGATTTATTCCTAATTTTTGATGAACAGGAGAGCCAATAAAATAAGTTTATATTTCAGTCCAAGAACCAATTATGTCTGCATTGCACATCTCACTGTAGTTTAAGTTAGTATAAAGACACACCTGTAATGTCATTGTGCTCTTTGAAACATATATGTCAGCAGGGTCTTCAGGGTCAGGCTTCTTGATCCAGTCATAGTATTCCTTATTAACATTCTCATAGTCATATTGTTGTGACTTCCTTCTTTTCTGGACCCTTGGGGATGTGGCATATCTGCTGGCTGCCAATGAGCTTCCTTCTTGAACCATTTCATGGTCTTCACCATCACCAACACCATGGTTGTTGGCTCTTTCAGACTGAGTTCTCCTGGAGGAACGCCTTCCATCCACTGTTGCATAATGTCTGGACTGTTTGGCTGATGGTTGTATCAGGATTTCAGCTGAACTATACACAAAGTGAAATTGATCATATATAGTACTTCAACCTCATATAAGGAAGTTAGTGTCATGTTATACTTTGTTATGTTATGCTGGCTGGATGTTGGTGTGGGTTGGCCAAGTCTCGCAGGAGTGGATTTGGTCAGTTTCTCATCTGCCTGATGGATGGTTGCTTTGGTTTGAGAGAGATTGGGTTGAGACTTGTGCTTCTCTCTTTGTTTGGCTTCTTTGCGCAGCTCCTTTTGGGACTTCTCACACAGCATTTCCAGCTCCCTGGCATCTGATGATTCTACATCTTGTCCTGCAAATTGGAACTCAATAATAATTAAGGTATAATAATGTAACATGCATGCTCTAATAAATGCCCTATATCTAAAATTGAGGTCAGCTGAGTCTAAAAATAAATATTGTTCTATTGTGTATGACCCTCAACAAGATGCTATCCCATGTTCAAGCCAAATGCACAAGCAGAAAGATCCCATATCAGTCAAGTTCAACACATTTTAATGTCCGCAGTGGGAGGAATGACCAGTAGGATCCTACAGGGGTCTGGGGGGGAGGATAATAAGGACGTTGTGTAATGTGTGTCTGTGGCCTGTTTGTTTACTGTTTGTTTCTTACATGAAAAAAAAAATGCATTCAGTACATTAAGTTGTCAGGATGGTTGAGTGGTCTAAGGCGCTGCGTTCAGGTCACAGTCTGGTTCTGCAGGCGTGGGTTTGAATCCCACTTCTGCAATCATTTTTTCATTTTTGTTTTTTGTTTTTTCGTCCGCACTGCGGATGCTCTACTACTTGATAACAAACTTACTCTCAATAAGTGCTGTAAATACAGGTTGCTCCAATAAATGCTCTGGCATATTTTCACAATTTTAAATTACTCCTTTTCTGGAATATATCAGAGACTGGCAATAATTTGCAATTATGGAAATATATGAAAAGAAAAATGGGGAACAGAAGGAGAAAACAGGGGGGGGGGGATCTTGGATTTCCCCCTGATTTTTTTAAATGAGACAGGAATGCATGAGACAAGGCTTAAGGGATAGTGGTTCATTGTTGAGTGTTAAAGACTATAGGTTATGGAAAGGATTATTAATAGGATCAACCAAATAACAAAGCTCTCCAAATTGTCCCTTTACCCCCTCCCTTTCTTTGGCCCAGCCAATATTAGAGGCCAGCTGCTATATCCCCTTGAACTCACTTTGAGACCCAGAGTTTATTATAGAGACTGGCATCTATTTGAGACCTGGCATTTATCAGAGCATTTACCATATGCTTGTAAAATGATGGCCAGTATCAATATACTTGGTCCTCAATTTATATGCACAGGGATACATGAGTGCATTCTTCAGACACTACTGGTATGCTGTGGGCCTCCATTCAAGCATATACTGTATACACAATACAATTCTAGCATATTTTTAACAATCAATAGGTTTACTAAGGAAAATTTTGAGTTCAGTAATCTGCAACAATGATGTACATCCCTTTTGATGATTCACATTGGTACCTTGTACCACCAACATGAGTTGTTCAAACTTGATGTTTGTTATTTGACAATTTGTTCATTGCATAAATTTGGTTCATAGTCATTTTTATAGAATGTATTCATAGTGCAAAAGTTATTTGAGGTATTATGTACCCCTGCATTGTATTGACTTTTAGGGAATTATAAGTGTACATGCATAAGAATATGTGTAACTTCATCTTTGCAATGGGATTCCATCATCTGTTGCTTTTTTTTAAATATGGTTGGAAGGACTAATATACAGAAGCATACCTGCATTGACTGCCCTGAGAACACATTGCTTCTGCAGCATCCTAGCCCTGGTTTTGATCTTGTCCCTCTGGTGGTAAATCCCAAAGAAGATGCATGCATTCAGCACCAATATGCAAAGTCCTGCCCCAACAACTAAACTCCAAGCTGTGACAGTGCCTCCCCCAACCCAGGCAGTGACTGTTTCATTCCTGCCACCTCTGTTGTGGCCCCTCTGGGACCCAAACCTGGACTGAAGGTTCCTTTCATCCTCTCCAGGTGTCACTTCATGGTCATGTCTCAAAATAGGGGGTGGCAGTTGAGGGGGCAGAGGAGGAGGGAATCTGGCCCTGGGTGGGTATAAATGGTGTCGGAGACTACTACTTCTCCCCAGAAACACAACTGCAACAGGACGAGACTCGTTGACCCCTTAGTCGAAGTTGGTCTCACGGTAGAGTAAACTGAACATCACGTACAACAACCGTAAGTATAAGTAACCTGAGTAAGAGAAAAAGTGTGTCAGAGCAATTAAAACACATGATCATATGGCACCATAATACAATTATGCATATAAAAAGTATATATATTCAATATAATCCTTCATACTCAATTCCAGGAATTGGGATTGAAAATAAGACCAGTGACCCCAACCTTTGTTGGGAACTCATACCAGAAAATTTCCAAATTTTTTTTATACTGGGTACTGGCAAATTTCAAGAAAAATAATTCCTTTTAGACCTAAACAGCTTCATAAAATGTTTGCAGGCTCAAAAAAGTTTTGTTTGTACAACTTAAATCTGAAAAGTGTCTGCTATTTATGCAAAAATTAAGTTCAGCAGAACCAATGAAGCGGCTCAACAAATGACTTTAAAAAATTAGAAAGCTGGGCTTGAAAAAAGGTTCCTCAGGATGAAAAATTAGGATGATTTATTTCAGCAGGTGAAAATTAGTCTGACGCTTTTTTGGGAGAAAAGCCAACTTTTATGTTTCATCAGATAATTTAAATTATTGCTGTTATCTTTCCAGAATGTCATTCGAAGATAACAGACTTCATTGTAACTTTCAATGAATTTATTAGGCTGAAGAAAACTGGTCTAGACCAATGCTGGTCTGCAAATCATAGTTGGAAACACTGCTGGTCTAAGACCTCATCATGGTAGAATTCTGAGGAAATTTTTTTTAAATGAATTACTCATGCTTCAAGGCTGAAACAGTACATATGGATGCAATGTAACTTGATTCTTGATGTTATTATTCTTGATTAAGCCTATTATTATTAATATTCTAGGTCCATATACAGTGGCCCCCCGCCTAACAGACCTCTCATGTAAGGGATTTTTGCCAAACAGACCAGCAGCTCTGCAAGCAGTTTTTCCTCCCGGCCAACAGACATAATCCACCAAACAGACTTCTTTTGGTTTAAAATTAGTGTTGAAAATTGTTTAAAAATTAAAAAATACATTTTGAATTTGTGTAAAGGACTTTTTGTCTAACTGACTTGTCCCTTGCACAAATCAAGTCCGTTGGACAGGGGTTGACTGTAGTTGCAAGATTCCACATAGCAAATTTCTGATAATGTTGAGTGAATGAAAATCTTACCCAATGACATATAACGTTGTGAATGAAGAGAATATCTTGGCCAGATGACTCTGTCACTCCTCAACCTGGACCTTGTTTTAGGTTTCCCTCCAAGTCTTCTTGAAGCTTGAGGATCAATCAAAGATCTTGGTGGAATATTTGGGTCTCTGAAATAACAAAGATCTCACATGAAATGAATTCTTGTGGAATGGTTAAAAATTATGTCTCACCCAGTCCTGGCAAAGTTGGTTACAAAAGCCATGAACATTTGAGATAAAAAGCTTTCTGGTACAGTGAAGTTGCTCTGGAAGTGATTGGCTCCAACTGGTCCTTCCAGTGGAACTCCAAATAGATAAGGTAGTTCCTCCCCATGTATACAACCAAATTTCTGCATAAACACAAATTTGTTAGGCTTTATAATAAATCAAGTATTACTGCTGGAAATACTCACAGTTGAATAGTCTCCAAATTTGGATTGATGTGCAAAAACATAAAAGTAACTTTTTGGATTCTCTGCAGCATGGAAATTTGCCATTTCAACTTGACCTGCTACATAAGTGGAGTCTGTGAAAATATCCATTGCTGTGTCTCTGGTTGAGTCCCTGTCAACATCCATCTTCTTCCAGTTTGTATAATCAACCATAACAGCTAAAGGAAATGGATTTTGAATGTTTTTTGATATAACCAACCATCAAAGTTTAAATTTCTTCACCTGCCAGGATTTCTTCTGACTTCATAACATAATTGCTCTTTATGAAGGAGTCAACCATTTTATCTCTTCTTCTCTCTTCCATCCCATACCTTTAAAAAAATGAATAGTCTCAATTCCATGGTAACCATAATTTCCTTTTTATCACTTTATGACAATGGCATATTTACTCAAGTAGCTCATGCACCACTTATTTGAGAGGAAAAAGGGTTGCATTTCATAAGTAGGGTTACATTTCAAAAAAGTTGTAGAAGCTAAGAGCAGATTATATTTGATTTTAATGTTTAATTTTAGATCAATTTCAACAGAAAAGCAGAATCTCAATGGAAATTATTGAATATTCCATTTCCCCCGCTCTACGGACTTCATTTGTGCAACATATTAGTCTGTTGTGTGAAAAGTCTGCTGTAAATATGCCATTATTAGAAATTGAAATTTTTACGCTTCACTATTAATTCTAAACCAACAGAAGTCTGCTATGCAGATATAGTCTGTTGTGCAGGAGGGAAAATGCCTCCAGAGGTAGTCTGTTGTGTGTGGGGCAACTGTACTTGATTTCAGGATCAATTCATGTATATATATTCAAATGAAACACGAGAATGAAGAGTTTATAACGTAAAAGTCTCAGTGATTTTTACCCCACGTACAGAATCAACCTCTATTTTAAAATAGTTGTAAAAACTTACTTTTGGGGACAACTCACAGAATGAGTTCCCCACATATGGTACTTGAGTTAATATGGTAAATTGAAAGACATCTGAGTTCATCCTTATTATACCTGATGTCAGTGTCATCAAACATGAAGTAGCTTTCTGCAGAAACAACACCTTGCATGACATCATACCTGGTTCAAAAATAAAAGCATCTATAATGTACTATGCTGAAAGCATGTACTGTATAGTGAAATTTGCATGATTGGTCAAACCTTGAGAGCATGTCAAGGTAATTTTGAATGCTTCTCCTGGGTGGAGCTTGAATAAGTACTCCATCCACAACAGGCCCAAAAGCTGTTGTAAAAGATGGAAGCATGACCCTTGAAGCTGCTGCCAAGAGTTCTTCAACAGACCTTGTTCTCAAACAATCTGCTAACTCTTCCTTCCTTTGTTCTTCCACAGGGCAACTCACTTGATTGGCAATTTGCATTGTCACACTGATGGGGTCTGGGACCAGAGCCCAGGGTGTCAGTGCTGAACCACTCATCAAGACTACTCTCTGGAAAAGCCCTGAAAATCAGCATATTTTAAAATTAGAAAAAAATCAGGGAGTTCTTTTAAATGCATTTTTGTAAGTTGAGTTACCTTTGATCTGATGAGCAACAGTTGATGTCATCAAGAGATTAATGCATGCAGCTCCTGTGCCATGACCAAGTAGAGTCACATTGCCAGGGTCTCCCCCAAAGTTCTTGATGTTTTCCTGGATCCATTCCAGGGCTGCAATTTGGTCCCATAGTCCAAAGTTGGCTTTTGCCCCAGCATTCACTCCAGTTCTCAAGAACCCTTTGGCCCAAAAATAATAACATCTTCACCTTTAATTTCACATCACTTGAATATGAATCTGCTGATTATCTCACCAAAGATGCCAAGTCTGAAGTTGAAAGTGATAACAACAACTCTTCCAAATGATGACAGGACTGTGCCATCATAAGGGTTCCCTGAATTCCAGTCATAAGACTCCCCATGGAAAAAGACAATAACAGGGTTCTTATTGCTCATCTCAGAAGATTCCTGTTGTCTTTGTTTCTCTTTTGGCAATGCATTGGGAAATGATGGATCTTGCCAATATGGAGACTGGGGAGAGTTTGGTGGTTGTTCAATGCTGCCATCTCTGATTTTGCTCCAGTGCCCACTATCAGACTCTGATGGCTCCTCTGGTGCATCTGTATATGCCACATTAAATTGGGGAGGAAACAAAAAAGTGTGCTTTAATCAGTTCTTAAATTAGTAGAAAAAGGAAGTAAAAAAAGCAATGACAATGTTCTAATGACTTGCATTCCAATGTGAGTGACATGCCTTATTTTCAAGGATAAGATAATCATATATGTTCAGCAGTTGTTGTGATTGTAATGATGGATGTTTCTGCAGTTTATGTGGATCTGCCACAAGTATTGGTTTTTCTTTCACATATCAAGTTGTATCTATCTGCAGGAAGTGAAGTGATTCCTTTTTATTTCGAAGTTCCTCGGTTCTCCATACAAACACTTCGAGGTCCTTACGGCACGAGAAGGAAGAGTGAAAAGTAATATCTTCATTTATAACAGTCTCAACGGTTGTCTTTCATAAATGGAGGGAAGCAATTTATGCTGTGTATTTGAGTAAAACATATTTTGCTATCTGAAAATATGCATGAAGCGAATTTGTAAAGGCTTTCAACTGTAGGTCTTATACATATTTTAGCATATCTGCTTTGTTTTTCATACAACAGCAACACACAATTATAAAATACACTCACAGCCCAATGCAAAAAATACATCCCTTGCCTTTTGGCCTTGAAAAGTTTTGAAGGAGCAATGTAATCATCTTCTAAGAAAGGATGAGCAAACCAATTCAAATTATGGAGAAAATTGAATAACATGAGAAAAAGTGTTTAATATAAATATTTAAAAATCAATTAATTAAATGATGGCTTTTTGAAAATTATAAGCCTTTTCAAATAAAACAGAACAATTTCTTTCAGTTTATCTTACAAAAATCCAAATGATGTTCATGCTGCTGGCATTTTCAAACTGAGGATATACAATATTTGACTATTGGAGCTTTGGTAACACTGAGGAGGCGTGGGACTATTGAGTGTCAACTGCTGGGGCGGGTTTCTTTCTCAATGCCAGATGCCAGAAGTGAAAATATTCTCCCTACCTTCTTAAAACTTCTGGGGTATCTATTTTTCTCCCAGACAAAAAAAAAAAAAAAGCTAAAGTGTAGGTACTCTATGGGTTTTGGAGTTCTGTTACTCCCTCACTTGTCAACTTCAAGTACCTACGTACCCCTCTTATTTGTACCAAGGACTAAGTCTACTCTGTAATTATTATAAGGGGACGATGAATGCAGTGCATTTTATTGTCACAATTGATTAGCTTGTCAAAGTGATTTAATTTTCTTCAAAAAGAAAATATTTAAATTCTCATGAGTGCAATTTTTTCCAAACTTGAGGATGAAAACTTTTCCAAGCATGAATTCCATTGCTAAAATCTTTTGAAATATTTACATCCTTCTCAATTAAGTTGGATTTGGAAATATTCCATAAAATTTTCCAAGTATAAACCTCAGATAATTGAAGCATATTTTTTTTGCTTCTCTGAGGTAGGAATAATACATTGATAATTGTTTGGAATTGGAAATATTTTGAAAAGGCAGTTTCTTTTTTTGGTGCAAGGAATTCTTGCTATGAAGAGCAACTAGATTTTTTTTTCCCCCTCTTCACTTTTCGACAGCGTCAACTATCCAAAGTTCCGTTACCTGGACTGGACACCCCTTGGGTTTTTAGTCACGGTTCAGGGTCTTTGGGCCCAGTGTGTGCTCCTGGACCGACAAAGTCAAAATCCCGCACATGCACACCAACTTTGAAACAAGATGCCTCACACACACGGATACACTTCAGCAGCATGTGCCCTGGATTAAGCCTCTATTAAACCCGGGTCACACACGAGGACCTGGCACAAAGTCAAAATCCCGCACATGCACACCAACTTTGAAACAAGATGCCTCACACACACGGATACACTTCAGCAGCATGTGCCCTGGATTAAGCCTCTATATATGTATGATGCAACAAATTCTTTCAAAGGGGGGTACCCTTATATTTTTTTCTGTCTTCATGACAGGAAGCAGGAGCTAAAAATATTTGGAACCATCACAATAATTCTACAGTCCACTGCTATATAGTGAACTGATGATTTTATATTGGACTTAATATCACCTTGCTCATATGAATGAAATAATATCTTGCAGTTGTTTAATGTATTCATGCACATCCATTTGATTTCCCCCAACTGAACAGTGGTTCATGAATTTTTTATATCATCCTGTAAGTATTTACTTTTCCTTATTGTATTTTTCATGCAAACAATTTTCATGAAATTATCCCTCATAATAAACATATTTATGATATTTTAAAATAAAAAGGAAAAAAAGTATAGCAACAATTTTTTTCACACAATGAAAACATATTAAAAAAAGCATTTTCATGGAAAATATTTACATCATTATTTACATGCAGCATATACCTGATTTATTGGAAAAAAATTCCATGAATTTTAGCATAATTATTTTTTTTAATGGCCAGAGAAGCATAATGTAAAAAGGAAAATACATGTGAAATTGTCCCCTTCTTGGGCCCATATCTTTAAAAATATGAAATTGGAAAACCTGGATTTTCCAGGATTGATTCAAGATAAAAATGGAGAGTTGCTGAAATGCACAGTTTTTGAATGTATATATTAATAATTTATTTGCCAACTCTGAGACGGGTTGAACAGTTTAGAGTTGAACCTTGAGCAACATCATTTTGCAGGTCAAGAAGAAAACATTAACTCTAGGACATGCTTATCAGCATGAATGGATAAAAAGTGAATTTTGGAAACACACACAAACCTATGCATAATAGTTTCTGGCATAATTTTGAAAAATAATTCATCAAGAAGTGGACTTGGCAAAGCTTTTGCAAGATAAAACATTGCTGATGTGTCATTTTTTCAAATTTTAAATCTTTCAATTTTAAATTGAATAATATTTCCAATTCTAAACCAAAATGACAAACATTTTCCTCATGAAAGTCAAAACCCAAGTTTTCACCCAATTAAAAAGTTTTGACTGTTTTAGTCTATTCAACAGAAGTGATGCACTCACAAGCAAATAAACTCACCAGTGATGTCCACATGTGGTGCATAGACATTCAAGTAGAGACAGTCTTCACTTTGGTTCCTCAAATAAGGGTACAACCGGTGGAGGTAATGGTACCTTCCCTCTGGCATATGCTTCAATGCTTCTGACTTGTTGCTTATGTCAGGGAAGTTTTGTGGGCACACAGGTGACAACCTTCAAAAGCAAATACAGTAAAAAATCAACAGATTTAAATTTGTGTGATAAAATTTCTTCATTGCACCAGTGGTTTCCTTTGTAAATAAATTATTTAGTTTCTGGTTGCTGATTGCTGATTGTTGAGCAACCTTTTTGTAATGCAAAAGTTAGTCAAAACTCAAGTTATTATGAGAAAGAATTTGATACATTCCTGATAGTTTCAATAAAGTCCTTGACAAACCTTGAAAACCTTTTCATTTCTGGATTTTTCTATGGTGGTTATTCTTCAATACTGTACAAATATTCTTTAAAATTTTAATTTTTAAACTTTCTTGAGCGCAGGAATTTTTCAGGCTATATAAGGGTAACATTTTTCATTTTCTTGGAGTTCCTACCACTGAGCAAAATTCATCAACTTTTCAGCAACTGTTTTGTGTGCAGAAAAGCCTTTCATGGTGTAAGTAGTATTTCCTTAAGAATTTTAGCCATTTTGACTCTTGTTATGTTTTTCATCCATTACAAAGATTTTTCATTGGAACACATTTTCCATCATAAGACATTTTTCATTGTAATGCATTTTTCAGTATACACAGTTTTCAAATGAAACAACTTTTTCTTTGATGAACAACTTTTAAATTCAGCAAAAATTTTCAATGGTTTCCTGTGCTGAGATATCCTATAAAAATACTGTAATGCACTAATAGTCTAATACAGTGAAAAGCTCTGTATGACAAATTTTCCAGGATCAGTGCAATAAAATGATTTTCTGTAACTTTCCCAGCAGTTTCCAATGCAACAATTAAAACCCCTGATTTTCTTTTTTAAAGAAACAAAGCAGTAAAATCAGCTTCTATAAGTTGAAAAATAAACATACATATTCAAATAATTAGTAAATATACTCTCTCACCACACAAGAAAATAACTTGCCAAAATTGATAAATAGACAGATAATTCTTCAGGAGATATCAATTTCCAATAAAAATATATATTTTAAAATCTTCAACTCACAATACATTTGAAATCATGTCAAAATTTCACAAGAGGTGTTTTCTTGGTTATATCATTCAAGATCAAAGTTGCAGTGTTTTGTAAATCTGTAATATTATTACACCTGTATATTCCGTCACTTGACCTTGCCCAAGACCAAAGAGAGGCTACATATCTATTCTATTTCTTTCAAAATGAAAACACAATTTTCGTTTTATTTTAAAACGTTTTTATTCACTCGCTTTCTTGTCCGGATCAAATTTTGCAACTCAAATTTCGCTCACTTCCCGACGAGCTATAGCAAGCTGAAACTTTCAGGATAGCTTAGAAACTGATGTAATCCAACTCTGAACCTTTCCAGAATACAACAACCTTATTGATTCAACCACAATTTTATTGTGACCTCTTTTAGATGCACTTGTTATATCCACCTGACATATGACCTCACTTGATCACTTTTGTTGGGAAGAAGTGAAATACAAATGAAATAGATGCGCACCATGTTTAAGTTTATTTTTTGCTTTTTGAAAACGTGGTCTTTTTGATTAATTTTTTAATCTACTAAATTTTTATTTTTTTACTTGGTGGCCAGTTTGACTCCGTTCCAAGGCACAGGAGCCTTGGGTGGCATGAATCTCCGTGGCGGCTCCGCGTAAGGAATGCCCAGAAAGACGTCCACCCTCGGGGCGCCGGCGTAATTGGGCTTGACAATCAAGCCGCGCAATTTGCCGGCCTTTGTGCTAATGACGCGTCTGCCCACGCTCCAGTTGAGTTGCCAGGCGGGTATGCTGCTGGCGACTCTGCCCAGCAACACGACTGTGCATGCCACCAGCAGAACCCAGAATGTCGCTTTCCACTGCATTTTTTCTCCCTTATTTTTTAAATTTTATTTGAAATTTATTTGATGAAATAAAAGACATTTAATTTTTGCAAGTGAGGTCAAGACTCTGCTAATGCTGGAGCATCCGCGTTCATAGCAAATATATTTAGGCCACACTGTGAGAATAAGAAGAAAGAAAATTAGCAAACTTCACTAGTTCACTCCAGTATACAGTCCAGCTATATTGTTCACGTAGATTTTCTCCAGTGTTATTTTAACACCAACTTAGTTATTCCAACAACATAAGACCTTTCCAAGTCTCAACCTAATGTAGTCCATATGTGATAGGTAAATACTGATTCAACTGTTGAATTTGGGATGGATTTGTTAAAATTTCAACAACAAAAATTTGGATTGTATAGTTTACTGGTCTTTAAGAAAATAAATAATTGAAATCACTGCTGATCCATGGTGAATAAATTAGAACACTGCCCTGAACACTACAGACTTGTGAGTATATTTGTGTATAAGAGGTGTTATTACTTTGTGAGAGACTTTATGAAAAAAGGTGAAAGTTTATTGACAAAAGAAACTTTATTTACGTACATAAACCTTCACTCTTTTAAGAACATGATTATTTTACATATGGCAAACCCTTTTGTTTTTTCTGCTGTATCTCCTGATGGTTAGTTGAATAGCAATAAACCATTTAGATGGACATCTTTCACAGAATAAAATTATTTACCTTGACAAGTTTTTTTTGTGCTGCTGTGCTTGGATTTTCAAAATTAATCAATGAATAAAAATCAATTTTTCATGTTCAGAGAAATATTTATGGTGAAGAAAAAATCTCACACCCCCTATAAATATAATTTGGCTCATCAAGTGGTGGTGTGAGGGATTTTACTGTATACTTGATATATTACCTGTACAGCACACAAATGAAGGAATATGAGACACTGCACTGGGTAGGATAAGTGCTACTTATTCAGTGGTTACATTAACTTTTAGAAGAGTTGTCATCATAGGACTGCATTTGATTCCTATACTTTTAAACTTTTCTGGCTTCAGCAAAAATGTATCTGAAATTGTGATCCACAATTTCTCTTGGTACTTATTGGGTTCATCAATTGATTTAGAATTTTTAGATTTTGATGTTTCATTTGAATGGGGATTTATTTTACAGTAGAATGTTGATGTTCACTTGCAGAGGAAAAAGGGTGAAGGGAATGAGAGACACTGGCTTCACAGACCGAATTCTCACAAGCATCTGTCCTGTGAACACCTCAAAAAAGCTCCTGTTGCAGAGGTTCAGGGGTGAAGGATGCATGCGCAGTGTAGCAGGGCAAGTAGGAATGTCTCAGGCAGTATGACTGTGTCTGAATATATACAGTAGTTCATTTCACTTGGTTCAGCATGCAAAAGTCTCATTGTTATGTTTGGACTCAAAATTACATGGTCAAATGCAATTTTGGTTGCCATATGTCTGACTTGAAAGTCTTGTCAGCCATTTTTATATACCTCACACAATTGACTATATACAGTCAAACCCTTGTCTCCAAGGTTTTCATCAGTCTTCCTTAGAATTGAATTGAACAGGAAGCTTTATTTTCTGCTTTTCAGCATTCACAAGGTTCACGCAACATTTCCACATCCAAAACTTCTTGCCAATAATGGAAGGATGTTTTTTTATTATGCATCATGAAAGACTTGACCAACACATGGAATCAGGATGTTTTGGTCATGTTGGAAAAAATGGTGACAAAACAACACAACAAAGTGGCACCCAAAAAGTAGATCTTATCTAAATCCTTATCCTCAGCAGTCATTCAAAAAAATTAGCAGAATTTTTCCCTTCTCTGAGGCATGAGGAACAAAACCAAATTTGGTTCCCAGGCTCAGCAAGGACATTCCTGAAAATAAAAGCCTTTGTTTCTTAGATTTTGTCCTTCATGAATTCTTCTCCTCATTTCTAACTCTTCCAAAATGTACACACTTGCATTATGTGTTGCAAACCCAAGGATATCTCTGTTATTGTATCAATTTTTGTANGCTCACTTCCCGACTAGCTAGCAAGCTGAAACTTTCAGGATAGCTTAGAAACTGATGACAATGCAATCTTTTGTGAAAAGAAAAATTATAAGAATATTTTTTAAAAAGAATAAAATAATTATAGTAGATTAAAAAATTAATCTAAAAAACCACGTTTTTCAAGTAAAACTAAAAAGCACAAAAAAATTTAGTACATTAAAAAATTAATCTAAAAAACCATGTTTTCAAAAAGCAAAAAATAACCTTAAACGTGGTGCACATGGAGATTGTTGGGAAGAAGTGAAATACAAATGAAATAGATGCGCACCACGTTTAAGGTTATTTTTTGCTTTTTGAAAACGTGGTTTTTTTGATTAATTTTTTAATCTACTAAATTTTTATTTTTTTTACTTGGTGGCCAGTTTGACTCCATTCCAAGGCACAGGAGCCTTGGGTGGCATGAATCTCCGTGGCGGCTCCGCGTAAGGAATGCCCAGAAAGACGTCCACCCTCGGGGCGCCGGCGTAATTGGGCTTGACAATCAAGCCGCGCAATTTGCCGGCCTTTGTGCTAATGACGCGTCTGCCCACGCTCCAGTTGAGTTGCCAGGCGGGTATGCTGCTGGCGACTCTGCCCAGCAACACGACTGTGCATGCCACCAGCAGAACCCAGAATGTCGCTTTCCACTGCATTTTTTCTCCTTATTTTAAATTTTATTTGAAATTTATTTGAGAAATAAAAGACATTTAATTTTTGCAAGTGAGGTCAAGACTCTGCTAATGCTGGAGCATCCGCGTTCATAGCAAATATATTTAGGCCACACTGTGAGAATAAGAAGAAAGAAAATTAGCAAACAAGTGATCAAGTGAGGTCATATGTCAGGTCGATATAACAAGTGCATCTAAAAGAGGTCACAATAAAATTGTGGTTGAATCAATAAGGTTGTTGTATTCTGGAAAGGTTCAGAGTTGGATTACATCAGCATATGTGATAGGTAAATACTGATTCAACTGTTGAATTTGGGATGGATTTGTTAAAATTTCAACAACAAAAATTTGGATTGTATAGTTTACTGGTCTTTAAGAAAATAAATAATTGAAATCACTGCTGATCCATGGTGAATAAATTAGAACACTGCCCTGAACACATGTCTGAACACTCATATAAACACATATTCTCCACAATAATGAAACACTCTCTGAAATACTTTTTTCCACTTTCAAATAACTGTTTTCTTTGAAATAAATGCATGTATTTGGAAGTGAGAAAATTCTCCATGATTATTTTATATTTGGCAAACCCTTTTGTTTTTTCTGCTGCATCTCCTGATGGCCACTTGATAGCAATAAACCATTTAGATGGACATATTTCACAAAATAAAATTATTTACCTTGACAAGTTTGTTTTTTTTTTGTGCTGCTGTGCTTGGATTTTCAAAATGAATCAATGAATCAAAATCAATTTTTCATGTTCAGAGAAATATGTATGTTGGTGAAGAAAAAAGTCTCACACCCCCTATAAATATAATTTGGCTCATCAAGTGGTGGTGTGAGGGATTTTACTGTACTTGATATATTACCTATAAAGCACACAAATGAAGGAATATCATGCACTACACTTTTCATTATAAGTGCTACTTATTCAGTGGTTACATGAACTTTTAGAAGAGTTGTCATCATAGGACTGCATTTGATTCCTATACTTTTAAACTTTTCTGGCTTCAGCAAAAATGTAACTGAAATTGTGACCCACACTTTCTCTTGGTACTTATTGGGTTCATCAATTTATTTAGAATTTTTAGATTTTGATATTTCATTTGAATGGGGATTTATTTCACAGTAGAATAATATTGATGTTCACTTTCAGAGGAAAAAGGGTGAAGGGAATGAGAGACACTGGCTTCACAGACCGAATTCTCACAGGCATCTGTCCTGTGAACACCTCAAAAAAGCTCCTGTTGCAGAGGTTCAGGGGTGAAGGATGCATGTGCAGTGTAGCAGGGCAAGTAGGAATGTCTCAGGCGGTATGACTGTGTCTGAATATATACAGTAGTTCATTTCACTTGGTTCAGCATGCAATAAAAGTCTCAATGTTATGTTTGGACTCAAAATTACATGGTCTAATGCAATTTTTGTTGCCATATGTCTGACTTGAAAGTCTTGTCAACCATTTTTATATACCTCACACAATTGACTATATACAGTCAAACCCTTGTCTCCAAGGTTTTCATCAGTCTTCCTTTGAATTGAATTGAACAGGAAGCTTTATTTTCTGCTTTTCAGCATTATTCACAGGGTTCACAAAACATTCCCACATCCAAAACCCCCTGCCAATAAGGGAAGGATGTCTTTTATTATGCATCATGAAAGACTTGACCAACACATCTGGAATCAGGATGTTTTGATAATGTTGGAGAAAATGGTGACAAAACAACACAACAAAGTGGCACCCAAAAAGTAGATCTTCTCTAAATCCTTATCCTCAGCAGTCATTCAAAAAAATTAGCAAAATTTTTCCCTTCTCTGAGGCATGAGGAACAAAACCAAATTTGGTTCCCAGGCTCAGCAAGGACATTCCTGAAAATAAAAGCCTTTGTTTCTTAGATTTTGTCCTTCATGAATTCTTCTCCTCATTTCTAACTCTTCCAAAATGTACACACTTGCATTATGTGTTGCAAACCCAAGGATATCTCTGTTATTGTATCAATTTTTGTATCAAAAACTGACCAACTTGTCCTTTCTTGTAAAATATATCATTTTAAACTGGGACAAAAAATGTCCCAGCTGCAGCCCAGCAGCTGCTCAGGCATGTTTTAATTATTTCTTGCGTTCTGCAAATTCCTGAAAAGCTAATTTCTCTTAGCTCAACTTCTGAAAGCTGATTTCTTTTAACTCCTATTTTGAGTTGTTTTTTAAAATCTGAGTTTCATTCCCATTTGTGAGTCAAGCTTTGTTTTTCTCACAGGTAAGTCCCAACTTTTGGAAATAAAAAAGCCTCCAAATGAGTGTTATTCAAATTCAACTTATGGTGTCCTTCAGTAAATTACTTTTGGCATTTATAAGGAAATATGGTACTCTAATATGTCAGCATTTTAGGAGTCCCTTCAAATTCAACTTGGCCAGTATACTTCAATTATTTCAAACACTTGTCTAAGTATATAATGATCCCAAAATAACATTTTCAGAGTATACAGTATACTCTGAATAAATTTAATTGTCTCACTAATTCTTCCCCAGACCTCCTACACCGTTTCTGCACATGTTGAAGTTGAGCATAAGAGAGACACGCATCTGTAGCGCATGTGCTTGAGGTTTCCGGAGTTAGAAACAGGGAATTTTATTAATAAACGCCGGTTCTTCTGCCAAAAATTTGCCGCATGGTGGCCCACGCAAAACGCTCTGTGACTCCTAAATGATCTTCACTCGCTCTATATACTGTATCAAAAATGTCTGCGTACGTCGCCGGAATTTGCCAAATTCAATGCGCCAGAAAGTTTGCACAGTTTTTGGGCATTTTCGCTTTGATTAAGTACTGTACTCTGTTTTGAAGAAAATCTTCAATTTGGGTATTCAGAAAAAGCTCATTACAACAAACTCCCAGGGACTGAAAATTTTGTCGTATAATTCTGACAACTTATTGGATAACAATATTGTGACAGTTAGGAAACATTTTTTGAAAAGAATGAATTTATCTGAAATTAAGGGAAGGTCAGTTTTTTGGGAATGAATTTTTATGGCATAGTCCCCGAAATGGAGAAACTGCTGGGATCAATAATGAAGAAGAATTCTTTATAATTACAAATTATTTATAATGAGATCCATCGTAACCGAATTTTGCTGTATCATGCTCAAAAGAAAAGCCAAAAATATGGCAGTGTAATAAATATTCATTACTTCAGGTGCAAATCGCATCAAAAGATAATTATTGTGAGTCTCTCGCGTTTTTAGCGGCGGAAATTCTGCTCAGTGTGAAAATTCAAGACTGCTAATTTTTAAATTTTTTAAAATCTCAAATTAATGGCTGGAAAAATTATTCATGAATCGAAAAAACGCCGAGTGAAAGTTTTATATGCTTCAGCGACAGCAGATTAAATTCCGTGAAAGTGGACGATATTTTTGCTCGCATTTTTAAATATTTTTTTATTCCTCTCGGACGTTCAGCGGTTTTGAAAAATTTGCGGATATTTTTCGGATTTCATCATTTAATGTCAATTTCACGGAAGGAATGGAATGATGTTAAAAATTGAAGGAAATTGGTGTGAAAGTCGCGCAGTGAAAACGGTGTGATACTTTTCAGCACTATTGCCATTTTTTAGCAGCTGAAATTTCAGGAAAAAAAATAAAAATTTCTGCTTGAATAGTCTTGAATGTTTTTTATAACTTTTATGCAACCCACCCTGAAATTGTAACCTACGATATTTCATTGTATACTCATTATAGGGAATTTTCGAAATGAAAACAAAATTGCGGTTGCGTTTAATATACAACTTTTTTGCCGTTTTGTTTTTGTTGGTTTCTGTCGTTTCATTTTTATAAAATGAATACAAAATATAGGATCCCTTTCAGTACCAGACTTATCGTCATTTTTCGTTCATTTTTATTCATTTAAAAAAAATCCCCCGAGGAATTAAATTGAGTAAAAAGAGCTTTTCACTCGAGGATAAGGATTAAAGTTTTCATTTTCAAGGTTTTCTCGGATTTTGACGATATTCTTTTCTGACTTCAGTGGCCTCCTTGAAAACTTCTGTTCCAGTTGAAACATGAAATCATTCGTCTTTTGGATTTCCTCAGCAGAATTTGTTTGCGTTCCAGGTTTGAAAACCGGAACGGGATGATGAATAGATTCCGGAAGTACTTCCGCTTCATCAGTGGCTTCCACCAGTGGGAATTCTGTGAGGGTTGTTTCTGGATTTGTTGTATTTGTTATCATCTCTGGTTGGAAAAATTCTTCAGGATGCATCTGATGTGTGTACACAAACCTGCAAAAACAAGCTCATTCAGTTGAGAGAAAAAAACATACTATAGATTGAAAATTAGAAAATTTAAGACATTTTCAGGATAATTTTAAAATATGAATCTTGACATAGATTAAAAAGCTCATCAAGTTTCAATAAGTTTTTATCTGACAGTTGAATAAATTTGATGGACTGACAAGGCTAGTGTTACCCTCGATTTTTAGCTTTATATATTTTAATTGTCAAATACTTTAACTAGGAATTTATATTTGACCCTTGGGCGGCTGGGATTTATTTGCACATTTCTGTGCCAAACAAAAAACATGAAAGGAAATACTGTATACCTTGCAGCTCATATAGCTGAAAAGTTGAACTGTAGAAGAATTCTGCATGTTTTTGGCATTTCTGCAGAAACATTTTAGTAAAAAAATCAGTTACTGCTTTAGGGTGGCTTTTTTTGAATGTCTGTTGTGGTGGGTTGACTAGGTGTTGCCCACAGCAAACAAGATTGCACCACAAAGCGACTAGATGTTGCTCACGGTCACGCCACATTGCTTAGAAGCAACTGGAGTTCACTAGAACCCACAAGAACAAAAGTTACATAATTCAAAATATTCCATGAAGTTAGGAAACCTTCATGGAATAATTCCAAAACTGTTATGAAACATCATGAGTAATCCTCATCAAAAGGATTCTCATGAAACACAGGACCCAGCTCCAGGAAACTGGCCTTCAGGTTCATTTCCATTGGAATGGACCTGAACCTGCATCTAAAACCTCATCATCATTCATGTTCCTGAAGTGTGCATGCAAACATCACTTGAGAAAAGCTTGAATTCTGTGTTGAACACTTTATCATAATGGAAAATGTACTCTCAAAGAGTTGAGGATCAACCTCAGGCCACAAACGGCTGATTGCCTGTGTCATTATTTCACTGTACCGAATTTATTTGTCTTGAGTCAAAAGGACCCACGACATCTATCACAGGATTCCCATTGAGGGATTGGGAAATCAATAATGGTCTTCCATTTCACAAATTTTTCCAAACTTTGACTACTTTCTCAGTCAAATCTGTGTTTCAGTGACCTATGGTCAAACCAAAATTCAGAAGTGTGCAAAAATTTCTTGGCACTGTCACTCAATGGAAAATACCTGCCATTATTTAACCCTTTTGTAAAAAAGTTGGAATATTTTTGCGAAATTGTGTCCCCATCAGGGCAACAAATTAGAATATATGAGTTTTGAACCAAGGCCATCTATAAAGATCAAATTTTAAATGAGCCAGATGGTGATTACATGAAACAGGTACATGCATTTTGGGGCACTATTAGTTTTCTTATCATAGGTACCAGACCAAGTTGTCATGAGGGAAACTCAAAAAGCTTTTGAAAGGTTTCTCAATAAGTTTTTAGAAAACTAAAAACAAAGATGTCTTATTTGAATGAAAATATGAAAAATATTGAGATTTTTTTCAAATCATGAATGGCATTCAGTTGATGATGGATCTTTTGAGAAATGTTTGAAGAAAGTGAAAAATAATGTTTGGAATGCTTACTTGGATTGTCTCCAGAATGTAATCAACAACATGAACAGGAAGCAAAACAGACCAAAGATGAGAAATCCCAAGCAGATCAGTTTCCCAGTTCTGTGCCAATTCAGTGTCAAATTTGCCCATTTGCTGCTGGCATCCAAGTAAACTGATTCCAAAGAAGCTGCCCAGCTCTCATCTTGTTCAATCCCACTTCAACATCAAAACTAACATAAAAATAAATCCATTCCTGTTTATATCAAGAAAATAGGTTTGTGAATCTAACATTATTGTTTGATGGCCCTGATTGTGGGATCCTGTGTAATCTGCCTCATCCAACCTCTTCCTGAGTCTGTAGAGTCTGGCCCTGAGCATTTCAAGTTCCTCAAGTTTCCCAGAATTATTTTCATTAGTTGTTTCAACCATGTTGTATGATGTGGGCTCATCTGTATGGTTCTGTTCTTCTGCTGCTTCATCAAATTCAGTAGCTGAAGGGACTCACAGGGCCTTTAAGAGCTACAGTTTTATGGGGATATATGAAAGTATTTGAGCCTCACTGATGGACATTTTCAGTGCTCTAGCCAGGGGACTGGAATCTTTATTGGGCTTCCTGAAGGATGCTCTGGTTTTCAGTTCTTTGTTTGAGGCCAGGGTTTCTGGACTGACATCATCATCATCATCATCAAGCAGGGAATTTTCATCATCACTGTCTGAAGAGTCACCTAAAGGCTTCTTGGAAGTTGCTCTTCTTTCCTTCATTGGAGCTATTGTATTTGTGCAGTTGTGGTCATGGATGTCAGAAAAGGTTATACATTTTCATAAAAAGTATCTGGCATCTTGATGATCAATGTAGAGATTTGTCTCATATTTGTATAGTTAAACTTCAATAAATTAGTGTGGCCTCAAAACAGCAAAACAAAATTTTTCCTGGATGCATCAATTTGGACATGATATCCAAGCTTATGGCAGGACATTGAGAATTATTTGAAATTTATTACCATATTTACTCAAGTACCACACACACCTTTTTCCCCAAATTTCTGAAGAAAAAAAGGGGTGCGCGTCATAAGCAGGTAAAAACTTTTCAAGAAGTTTTAGGAAGTTATGTGTGCATTATAATTGATTATAATGGAGATATTTTGAGAAAATGTAACAAGAAAACGTTTTTTTACTGAAAAAGTTGAAAATTGATAAGATTTTTGTTCAAATCATGCCTAAAGTCAATTTTTTGTTTTTATTTGCAAAATTTTGTGGTTTCAGATTCACTGAAAATTGGGGTGTGCGTCTTACTTGGGGATAAGATTATAGCAAAATTTCCAACTCAAAAACCCCTCTGCGTGCCTTACTTGAGGGCGCGTGGTACTCAAGTAAATACAGTAATATGAAATTAAAGTGATCCTCTGGCCACTTCGTGATTTAAACTTTCCAAAATAATCTAATTTCCAAACAATTAGAAGAGGGAAAGCTTTGCCATTTTCAAAATCAGTATTTGATTTGATGAATAATTTAAAATTCAAACTCTAATTGAAATTTCTTATGTGAGTCCCTTTCTTATAAACATGATATCATGGTGAAGAGCACAATTTAGATCACTATGGTCTTATGTAAAGCATAGGTCCCACTGTCTTATTCAATTTTTTCTCTCAATTCTGCAGTATTAAAAAGGTGATATTATTCAAGTCTCAACTGAATTGACCACTTTGATTCAACAAAGTGGGTCCTATGGAGTGCTGGAAGTCCTGCATGGATATCCTTGGTGCATTTCTGTTGGATTTCCAAGATTTTTCAGTTTTTTCATCCATGTATTCCACATGTTTTGAAGCCTTATTGGAGGAATGATGAATTTCATCTTCATTCTCCGCAGACTCATCATCAAGTCTGTCAATATTTGGATAAAAGATATTAGTCAAGCTCCAAGTATTTCAGAGCATAAAGAAATAAATTATTAAGGTCAGCAGTGTTAACTGAAGATCCTATAGGGGTCTGGGGGAACTTTAATAAGCATGTCCTGTAACATGTGTCTGTGGCACCAATTTTTAGCAGGTTTTCCTTGGCATGGAAAAAAATTAGGGTGCAGTGAAACAGTCGCAGAGGTACCCAGTTCAATCCCACCCCTTGGCAAATTATGTTTTCAGAAAACGTTTCCTATTTTGATTTGAACTTCCTCCAGCCAAAAAAATTCCAAATTTGTAGAAATGCATTGTGCATCCAAGAAAATTTTTAAAATTGAAATTGCTCCAAAAATATTATGAGTTAAACTTGAAAGTCCAAAAATTTTTTGTTTTCCAACCTTCTCAATATAAAAATTCACCATATGATTTCTGCTCAACAAAACTCTACCTTTTTTATAGGGTGGATGTGCAATGAAGTTCTGCACATTTCCCCATTTCCAACTTTGAAAAATTCCAAAAATTGACTGAGATATAAAAAAATGCGGACCTTTTTCAAAAAATTGAGTGAAAAATGGGAAAAATTCCTTTTTAGATCTCAATTTTTAACTGATCAAATTGAAAACCCCATGTCATTGCAAATACAGCTGCACAAAATTTTTTAATTCAGGAAAATAAAAAAATCAATTTTTGAGTTCTTCCAGCCAAAAAAATTCCAAATTTCCAGAATTTCACTCAGTATGTAATGATGATTTCAAATGTATGTTATGTATGTATGTATGTATGTATGTATATTTTGCTACATTGGGGCACTAACATAGAAAAACAGTGCAATGTTATGCCTATAATGTCATACAGCAATTCTTTTTTCAAATATAATATATAAAAATTTGAATTCCCAAGTTCAATTAGGGTGTAATTAGTAGTAGAGCGTCCACAGTGCGGATGCTCTACTACTAGTTATGACATCTTACTGCTCATCATCCTCAGATTCTCCATTCCCAGCTGTGTATAGTGATTGTTTCTGGCTAGTGAAAGTTAGTGTCGTGGAATCTTTGCTGTCATCTGTGTGCGAGTATTTGATGTCATTCACTTTTTTTTAGAGAGAAATCAATAGCATATTGATTTTACTGTGTTGGGTACTCATGGGTATGGTTTGGTCCTCATATGCATCAATTTCTGGAGGCCAGGTTATTTCTTCATCAGGTGTCAATTTTTCAAGCCAAAGGAGGGACCCACTTCTGCCAGATTCAGGGTTTCCTGGGTCAAAATCAGCTTCTGTTTGACTGATTTCCTCTTCTTCAAAATCAGTTGCTTCCTTATTGAGATGTTCAGGTTTTGTATTCAAAAAAAGGAAAAATTTTTGGTGAGCTATTATTTGAACACAAAAGAACAGGTTTTAATTGAGAGAGCAGAAATTAAAGATGACACACTTGAATCAACTTACATCACATCTTAATACTGCAAATCAATTATCAAATTTCAATTAAACCTCTTTATTTGAAATGACAAAATTTCTTGCAAAATTTTAGGTTTGAGGATTTTGTTAGTAATGTGTTCTTGAGTGCTTTGGTTTGTAGGGAACTTTTGTGAAATGAATGTTAATTTGAACATTTGAAGCTTTGATGTGCACAAGCATATAAAATACATTTGAATTTTTTTCTTGCAGATGTCACTGCTGATGGACTAATCTTGAAAAGTTCAACCTCATATATTATTGAGAGAGCTAATACTGATTCTGTAATAAAAGTAATGTTAAATTACCAAGACATTTGCTTTTACAGGTGATACCTTTAAATTGGACCTTAATCTGTTGCCAGACTATATATGGTCAAATTGCAAAGTGGTTGAATTGCAATAAGAAAGTTTGCAATATTGAGAAATATTTGCACAAAAATGCAAAAAGAGTGGCAAAAGCAGATTGAATTCAACCATTCAAATTGCAGGATGATCTAATTTCCAGGCATCACCTGTACTGTACAAGAAAAGAAAAGCCTCTTCTGCTGAATATACCACTTACCTGTGAGATTGATTGCCCAGAAATTGAGCGACCTCCTTCAAACCAATAAGAAGCTGTGCTTTCTGGGTCAAGAATGGTTGATGCAGATGTCGCTGCTATAGGATACACTTTTTTGTACCAGGCTCTCTCAGAGCAGCAAATATGCTGTGTTTTGTCTTCTTACTTGTCACTGGAGAATGTTGTTCACTGCTTGTACAAGCAGTGACCAGAGCTTCCATGAGTTGTCTTGAAGGTGTTCTGCTGAGTCTTGTATTTGTGGGCTTTGGTTTGAATTTGTTTTTGGCCTTAGAAAGTATTCTTTTCATGACTGGTATATTGTTATAGATAATGCAAAAATATATGTTAGAGGGTTAAGTGCTCATCAAGTTTCTCTGGTCACTAGTTGGGAATAAACTCTTTGTGCAGAACTTGTGAAAGTTTCTTTCTGGATCTCTTCATCTTCAGGTGTGCTGCATGATGATGAATAAATGAATCAAGTCCACAAAGCTGTGTCTGCAGGAACCATATATCCAAGTTCTTTTATTTCTCACCAAAAAAACACTACAAGAAAGTAGAAAAGATTTTTGAAAAAATCTGAAAAGAATTGTGGTCTCTTCCAAAAAATAAATTAATCCCCTTCCACACAACTCAACTATCACCTGAAACTTGAGCCACATTTAAAATACAATAAAAGCCTTGTTTTTTTTCTTCAAAAGTGGGAAAGAAATGCCTGTGATGAACAAAATGCATGGTAGTGCAAAAATATTTTTGGCAGTTTCTTGCCAAATCAAGGATCAGGTGTCATGGTTGAAGCATTGGACTTTTTCTCCCTCAGTCTCAGTGATTCTCTTCTGGAAATCTCTTGCCTCCCCAAGAGGATTTCTATCTCCAACAATGTCTTCCCTTTGGTTTCTGGTAGCAGCCATATTGACACAAAAAACGTGATGACCCCTGCTACTGCATAGATGGAAAATGTTCCATGGTATCTGCAAACATTAAAAAAGTCAAGTTTACAGTATCATCTGATTTTTGAGGAAACCATAAATCTAAAATTTTGAGCAAAACAAACTCATTACAATTATCAATTGAAAATTGAAAAATTTTGTGTCTTCAGTGGGCCACATTTCATAGAGATTCATATAAATGCCAAATAATGCAGAATTTTCAAAAGTTAGTACAGTGGTGGAATTTCAATGCTGTGGATCAGCTTTCTAAGATATTAGCAAGGGCTGTATCCTAAGTTCTGCAACTCTTCCTCTTTCTATATATACATTATTGGAGGAGCACCAGAAAGTTTTAAAAGGATGCACCAAATATTTTCATAAGTGGTTTTAAATGCTTTCTTGTATCATGGTTAGAATTTATTCTGCTCCACACTGAATTGAAGAGATAAGATAGCAAGTTAAAAATTGATCTCAACTTTGAGGGAAAATTCAATTCATTTCCACAAATTAGGACAAATTCAAAAATTAGCAAAGAAAAATGCATAATGAATAAGATCATGATATTGTTTTTGGGAATCTGTTCCTTTTTTCAAGGGTAATAGAATAAAACTGCTTCAATATTTACAGCAATTTATGAATATTTTTTTCTCTTGGCAGCAGAGTTTAGTGATGAATTTCAAGTGCCATGATGGTGGCAAAAATTTTACTAACCCAAGCCAGGCTAATCCTTTGTTCCAGGACTTGGTCATGAGGAATTGGCAGAGGGTGTTGAAGGCAAAACAAAGTGAGAATGCAAAGTTCTTGATCTTGAGAGGCAGCAGTTCCCCCATCAACACCAGCAGCACATTGGACATTCCAATGCAGAATGTGAATGTGAACCCGTAGATGGACAACATGGGCAACCAGCGAGAAGTGGAAATCAATCCTTCAGATCTGGAAAATGTAAAGCAAACATGAAATATTTTAATGAATTTTTGAGATTGAGAAAGGAACAAAGTGTCCACAGTGAAATTTGAGTTATATATAGTTGTATACATACAGTATTTTCAAAAAAACACAATTACACATTTAAACTGTTTGTATATAGTGCACACATTTTTAATGGAAGATCCATAGAACACTAAAAATTTGCATAAAAATCCCTTTTGAAGAGTAACATATTATGCATAAAATGACAGACACTTTTTGGGACAAAAAATGCATGGATTCCAGCAAGTTCTGAGTTTAAAATTTTATTTTCATAAACCATGGCATAATACAATATCTGCAAGTGAAAGATAGGTAAACTGGGTGCTGTTTATTTCATGCAGCCCCAAAAGTTTTTAAATTTCTGCAAAATCAGAGTTTAAATGTATCAGATTGAAATCATAGATAAAAGGAAGGGATTTTTTAAACATCACAGCACTTTACTTTTACATAACAAAACTCATGAACAAAAATTTGTTTGATCTGATGCAAGAAACCAATGAACTGGGAATGAGTTGATGAAGACCAACCTGTCAGCAGGTTCAGTGCTTGTCCAATAGTACATGTAGATGGCAAATCCAACATGGAAGATGCCAATGAGGAAGGTTGAGAGGAGGATTGGCTTCCTTCTGCCCACTGTTTCCACCACTACTGAGGACACAATCTGTGGAATACAAAATTGACAACCTTATTCAGCATTTCTGATACTGTGCTCCAAAATTCAAATTTGGAATTGCTATACATTTTATCAATTATAGCTGGGGGGAAATAAATGAAGTTTAGAAAGTGTTTAGGGTTACTGTTGTTCAGTTTTTTTTATATCACACTTTTAATTTCTTGAATAATAGAGAAAATATTTTTACTTTTTTCTTCATTATAAATGAAAATAACAGTAAGTTCTGGTCAATTTTCATTTCCTTTTACAATTTTGAAAGTTTCATTGCTCATGCTTTATATTATTTTTAATAATTCCTTACATATATGGAATTTTCTCTCTTTTGTGGGGTACGTTATTCTTGATATGGATAACTTTTTGCTGACTATCTGAAGACATTGCTTCAAAATTTGCATTCATTGTATAAGCTGAGGACACAATCTTTGGAATTCAAGTTGAGCACATGCATTGTTGTCTTACATTGACATGAACAAATAAAATGTCCCTGCTCTTTAAATTGCTTATCACATTGTCAGACACCGAAATAGAGACATGTGTCATGGAGATTACTACCTCTTCTTTTTTTTATATTTCACTCAATGATAATAATATGTTCCAGAGCAGAGCAACAACAACAAAGTTTTTCTGCAATGTAAAGCAGCAACTGTGAGCTCAGCTTCATCATAGGACACCTGTATTCATACATTTGGGTGGCCAAGTTTGAGGGACACACATAGCAACTGATTTGGATTGGTGTCAACATACTTTCTTGCACATCAAACAAGGGAAATGAAAATGATTTATAAAGACATTCCTGCTGGTAGCAACAAAATATTGAAGGCAGTGTGGCGCACTATAAGCACAGTTTAGTGTAACAAACCAAGAAATAATGAGGGAACACTCCAAAGTGCTGTTTATATATGTTGTAGCCATATGGCACATGACTATCACAGCATCATATATTTTATGCTTCAAAATTTAAAATTGCCATTCAAAATAATCTTATTAACCCTTGTGCGGCAAAGTCGGACTATTTTTGCAAAATTTTGTGGCACCTCAGAGAGGTTTGGAAAAAATGATAGCAGGTGGTCAAGGGCAAAGTTGGGAAAAATCCCCATGCTTTTTTCTCTGAGCACAGAAAAATTTTGCCAGCAAAAAAAATAAATTAAGAGTCAATCCGATGGCCGAAAAAAACCTAATTAGGGTTGATGCGGAGTCGGGTGGACCTTCCCAAAACCACTGGAAGGGTTCTGACTTTTACGCCCTCCTATGTTTTTATTAGGTTGAGACAGGTGCTATGGGGAAGAACCCTCTGCCATTCAAGGGTTGAGTAAAGCTGAAGGAAAAGAGATGCATTTTGGAAAGCAGCATACCCAGGAAAACCATTGAGTGTCCCCAGATGCATCCAGAATGTGTCCTTTTTAAGTTTATATGGATGCGTCCAAAGTAGCGCACAGTTTAACCCTAGTACGTGAGAATGCTAAAGTGGATACATTTTTAGAAGATGCTAGGTTGACTCTTTGAGAGTCACGTCCATTTTTGACACATCCAGGACATGTACTTTGATGAATTGTAAAAAGATGCAGAACTCTCCCCCTGAATGATGTCAGCAGGGTTAAACATCCCCCTCTTCAAATTGCAGGTTGGGATGGGGATCCTCTTTCCAACATTGGAACAAGGATCCTCATTCCAACATTGGAACAAGGATCCTCATTCCAACATTGGAACAAGGATCCTCACTCCAACATTGGAACAAAGATCCTCATTCCAACATTGGAACAAGGATCCTCATTCCAACATTGGAACAAGGATCCTCATTCCAACATTGGAACAAGGATCCTCATTCCAACATTGGAACAAGGATCCTCATTCCAACTTTGGAACAAGGATCCTCATTTTGACATCAAAACAAGGAAAAGTTTTGTTTTCTTTTACAATTTTGCTAGTGGATTTGAATAGACTTTAAAAAATTTAAAATGTCAAGAATATTTATCTTTTTTTTGCGTAAGTTATATTCCTGAAATGGATGTAATATTTGTGTTGATGCTTAATCTGGGAAAAACTGATTCCAAAATTTGCACTGATGGTCCCTGCTGCTGAATGTTGATGCTGTTCCATGTATATACTGTATATATATATATCATACCTGTGCCAAGATGTCGCCGACCCCGTTGACCACAGTGGCCCAAAACGGGTCAAAAGCACTCTCGTGGTCTGTCCCAGCGTCTTCGAATATCTGCACCGTGTGGCCGATGATGTTGAAATAGCCCATGCTTTGTCGGGCCAGCTGGTAGAAGAGCAGCAGGGCCATGGGGGCCACGTACTTGTTCTCCTTGAGCAAGTCCTTGACCTTGAAGTCCGTCTCGGACAATTTCAAGTGGGCCCGCATTTCGTCCAGTTCTCGCTTCGAATCGTAAGTTGGGCCACGAAGCCATTGCATGGACTTCAGGGCCTCCTCAGTTCGTCCTCTGGAAAATTATTGGTGTATTGCCACACAATTTGGAAATTTATATTATTTACTAATTTATATACAGTACACAGAACTGCTTATTTATTTTAAGGCGAGAAATGTAAAATTATTACTGTTGTAAATCAGCACAATAATGCATGAAGGAATTTGGCAATTTGTTCCTGTTTGACTGATAATATGCTACAGACTGATTTGGATTTTGAATAATGAGCAGCAGTAATGTTTTTAGCACATGATACAAGACTCATATAATGAGCAAAAATTTAAGTACATTATGGTTATCTTGAAAAAAAATGTTGGTCTTATATGATTTCTCATCAAAGATTCTCTCTAAATTGTTCATTGAACTTGTTTGGATGCGGGAGTTCTGGTTATTCCTTGTGAACGCTGAAAAGCGGCAAATAAAGTTTTCTGTTCATTCATTCATTGGAAAGCCATTGAATTGAAACACTATCCTTTGATAACTTCCAAGAAAATCTAATCTAGTGATTTTCAGCCTCAGACTCAAGTAAGTCTTAAGCAATTTGACCGCTTCACAATTTGACCCTAGTCCAGCAATGGATCAGAGTCAAATTGCAAGGTACCACTTGTATATTTAAAAGTTTCCTATAGACCCTCCAAGCATGAGAAATTGCATTGATGGGACACTTCAAGGATTTTGAGACAGCAAATCATCAAAGGGTCCAAAAATACAAATTACAGTGCAGTTCAGTAATTTGATTGGATGAAAAACATTTTTTTCCTGACACCCTTGAATCAGTCATTGGGAAATTCTTCAAAACTTGGGAAAGTACTTGGATGCTGAGCAGCAATTGAAAATGAAATTGTCAGGTGGAATTTCACCAATTTACTTCTAATGATGTCCTTCCCTTTGCACAATCACTTGGTAAATTGCATGCAATTGGACACTGAAGAATAACCATAGGGGGGAATGCGAAAATGTTTATCATGAGACAAGGAAAATTATTACTGACCATGGAATTTCCATAATCCCTAAGTTTAAGATTCCAATTCTCAAATTGGATCCAAAATTCAAGGCCATCAACCTTATTTTTAAACTATTAATAAACGTGTTTTGAATCATTCACATGTTAAAACTTGGTCACTGACTCCAGTTTGATTTGCAAAGTCGGTTTCACAGGTCGTAGTAAAATTATTTATGTAAAGGTCCTTATACTCCAGTGAAAATTAAAATAACCTTGTATACTTTCAATACATAGTAATAAATGAGGTTCTAATGCTCAATTCATGGATTTTTGTTTTTCCATTTGCTGAGAAATTTTGATTGCCATGACTGGAATTTCTTTTACCAACCATTTAAAAAAGATTTATCCAAACTACAATAAGTAAAAAGATGAAACAATTGTAAGCAGCCAAGAAAATATTCTTCACATAAATGTGCCCTGGTTGAGGCTGACTAAATGTATCAAACTAGTTGCCATTCTGTTCATCGGTAATTTGAGGACAGTATTTTATGTTTTCGGGAACTTTCACAAGAACAAAACATTATAAACATTATAATTAACAATGGAGTTTGACATGGTGTTTGTATTACACAAGTTGGTAATGTAAGTAATATTGTTTTTCATACATATCACCTTTGCATCAAGAACATATTTCATGATATGTAAAATTAACAAATATCATGGACATGTGAAAGGAAAACATTTCATCATATGTAAAATGAACCAATTTCATCATCCATAAAATGAACAAATTTTCTTTTCTCATACAAAGTTGGCTTGTTAGTCCAATGCTGAAAAAATCCCATGACAAATGTTTTTTTCTCTACAGAATGTTCTTAGTGCAAGGTTTTTTTTTTACCAAGGGCCACCACTGTAAAGGCATTCTACATAAAATGCACACTTGAAAAAAAGACACACTGTGCAAAATGTGCCACAAAAGCAACATTGGTGCTCAATTTCCAACCTCTTTGGATATCTTAACTTTTTAGCTCTTAACATACTACTGTTTAACTTTAAAACACATGTCATATGGAAAAGTCCATCATTTCTCCACACCGTCCCTCTTTATCTTATCGACCGTCAGGACTTTACCACTACTAGGGAGCAGTGATGGCCACCAATCTCCATGACATGAGTGCCCCAGCCAAGTAGACCAAAAAAAGCCCAATCCCAATGGCCAAACTCATGTTGCTGAGAATCCATCCTCTGCACCTGTTGAAATGACAACAAATTTAAGCATTCAAAAATGGATTCACATCAGAAACGGTTTTCCCAAGAGATTCTGATCATAATTACCCATATATTGAAGAACAGCTGGGAATTGTGAAAGTAATGTTGAATTAACATGCTAATCTATGAAATTTTCATTCAAAAATCTGAAAAGAATTTCTCTCTGAATTCAATATCAAAGTGAAATCTTTCAAGAATTGAAAGCAGGGACAATTCTAGATGGTAATTTTTTCAACTCATTCAAGAAATGATGAAAACTATAAAAATAATATTTAAAAGGGTTGGCCTTTTTAGGTTTAAATATAAAAGAGGATTCAAATCAATAATTTCTTGTGAATTCATTATAACATTTTCTTTTAAATTCTTCTCAGTTCTCAGCCTGTGAACAGTTCAATAAAGTGACAATGATTTTTTCAACTTGAATAGAGATCTTCCCATCATTGACTATTGACTATTAAGATTTTCCTTGAAATCTATCCAAACCCTCACCTTTACAAACTGAAATTACTGAGTAGACACATTCCATAATTATAAGTCTTATATTTAAAATACACTGAAAAAAAGAAATAAAAATTCAAAAATGACAACCCAATAAAATAAGATTGAGCAAAGCACAAATCATAGATATCAATTATTGTATATACTTAGAATGGGTTGTTTCCAGGACATAGGCTTGACCCAGAGAAATGCGGACTCCATAGAGAAATCCCTGCAATGCTCTGGCAATGATCATATCAGTGGCTGAAGATGGGAAAGCTAGAAGGAACCACAATCCTGACAGTGGGAGCAGGACTGCAATCAGGGACCACTTTTTGTTTAGGTACTCTGCCATGGGTGCCCCTGCCAGCACACCAACCAGGGTACCAATGGGAAAAATGCTCACTGAAAATAAATAAAAAATATATAAACTCAAGTTCAGCTATTGGCCACTGAGCTAAAATCATTTTTCAGCAGATTTGAAAGAATTCCTTGCATCAGGAACAAAATATAAAAACTAAACTTGAACTGACTTGAGTAAATCATTGACACATTTCACATAATACCATGACAGAAAGTTCCTGGCAGACAGCAATTGTCCCACATCACAAAACTTTCTGGTGGATAAAATATTTAATTGCATCCTTGAATTTTCCAAATAGCAGCAGTCACTTACTTTAAACTTTTGAAACACTTCCAGAGTGAGAACATTATTGAAAATAAGATTTTCAGATCCTGGCAGCATCCAAACAGCAAGAAACTTCTAAAACTAAATTCATTAATTTTTTGTGTCACATTTTACAATACAACTGAATCAGCAAATTAAACCCAATCTCACTTTTCTGAATTTTAAGCCGAAAATGAGCTGATCAAATCCTCTTGGAATTTTTCAAAATTAAATTAGTTTTCATTTTGTACCTCTGTAAAATTAAAGAGTGTTTGTGATCATCCTAAGTTTGTTGGCTAATTTTTGTGTCATCCTTCTCCAATCCCCTTAATATGATTTCTTTAAAAGGTGGATCTTTTTGTAGTATGAAAAAGAGTCAAAATTTGACCTCTTATTTTTGGAATGAAGATTGCAGAGAGATGAAATTGTTGAGTGTGTTATTGGGAATGAAATAATAACTTACCAAGCCAAGATTCCTCCCAGTCAGAAATCATGAAGGATTTTGACATGTCTTTTCTCAGCCGGGGAAAAGCTACTGATGAATACCCATAAGCCATGCCTCCAAAAAGCCCATTGATGAAGGGGTGAACAGACACTAAAATCTGGAGATAAAATTTGAAAATAAAAAGCATATATGATGATCATCATCAATTGATGCTATTGGAGGCTGTGAAAATTCCCAGCTTGGAATATATAAGGATAAGCTCCAAGGATTTCTTCTAAATTTTTGTACAAAATACTATTCATGAATTTTGAAAACAGTTATTGAGGGTGATGATTGATTGGCATCATTGATTGATTTCTATCAACCCATATACAGAAATGCTGCAAATTTATGAGGAAGAGCTTTTTATTGACAGCATATATGCGCTGAACTTTTTTCTTATATTTGAAGCACCTTTGCAAGAGCGACATCTATACAAAACTTGATCAACATTGAATCACTTTTTCTACTTGTAAAGTTTTGCTTGATTGAGTTGTATTCTTTTTATGGGTGCATCATCAAAGCAGAAGTTCTAAATTCATCACACTTGAATAATTGGTTATTCCAAGTTTGAAGTTTAGCCTACTTTTGCAGTTTAGGTCATATATTGATTTAGGTTGGGTTCACTTATTATAGGTACTGAGATTTCATCTGGATTTTTTTTTAACAAGCGGGTTTGTATATGCTCAGGTTAAATGTACATGTTAGTTACTTCTATGTTCAAGTCAAGTTAGTTCTATGTTCAGTTCAATTTAGTTCTATGTTCAGGTTATTATACATGTCAGTTTTATTTTCATATTAGGTTAGTTATATTTATGTTGAGTTTGGATTATTTCTATGTTCAAGTCAGCTTTATTTCTATTTTTCAGGTCAGGTTTTTTTTATGTTCCTTTATTTTAGGATATCATAATGTTTTTGGTTAATTTAGGTACCATAGTATTCTGATTGAGTTACAGTAGTTAAAAAAAAAATAAAATAAAAATATTCAATGGAGATGTTGGTGTTGAGATATGTGTTTATGAGTATAAGAGATGGGCAATGCTTTTGTTGAGGTGAGATTTTAAGGTCAGTTCAGGTTTTTGGGTAATGAAGATATTGCAGAGTATTCATTATGATTCAATAATACTGTACAAATATTTGGAATATTAGATCATGTATGTATTAGATCAAATATTAGATCATATAGTTAGTATATATAAAGTATCAGTTGGGTGTTGGGTTAGGTTCAATTTTAGGTTTGGGTCAAAATTAGGTCATTATAAATTAATGTACATTTGTGAAAATTCTCCAATACTGTGGAAGTTGCTTGATTTGATAAATAGATGTCGCTGCGGTGCATGACTCCCACTTTAAACCTCTTCAGAGAAATTTTATATCTTGAATGAATCAATTTCTATTTGATCAACTCGTGATGAGTTCTTTGAATCAGGGAACAATAAAGTGTGTCATTTTCCTTATTCTTATCATTTAAAACAACAACAACAAAATTGAAGAAGGAAGATCTGATTTTGGGTGGTTATTTATGTGTGATGAAGAGAATATATTGAGGAGATGTATCTCGCCATGGTCCAGAGCAAGGGGTCTCCGGTAAGTTCGGGCTCCACGTGCACGTCCATGGCCTCGGGGATGGGTTCGGACCAGGCCTTGGGTCTCTCCTGTTCCACCATTGCTCCGAAACCTCCGACTCCGTTGTCATCCTCAAACGCCTTGTTGAACCTTGCCGAAGTTGCTGGAATATTTCATCATTCATGGAATCAGCATCATGAGTATATAATGTCCATGTGGTGGTACTTGGAAAATTTTGTAAACTGATTTTGAAAAAAAAAGTGTATTATTCATTTCTGATGATGAAGACCGTCGTCTCATATTCCGAAAAATGACCCATCAGTTCAGAAAAAATTCGATTGAAATAAGAAAACTGGATTTAAATTCAGTCTGCATCGCAGATTAATTATTCTTTCATCAATATTCTTAAGAATACATAATATTCAAGAATTGATCGCTAGAATATATATATTTTTTTAATGCGTGGGTTGATCATCACTTCTTAAAAATGGTCTCTCATTATTGAGACCTAATTTGAGCTTGCAGCCATTTTCAATCGCAATTTTTCGTCAGAAAATGAATCTTTTGAAAAAATTAACACGTCGTGGACCTTTTTTTCAAAATTGCATCTAATTATTGATTTACGGAGATACGGACACATAAATAAATGCAAGATCAAATTCCTGACAAAATAAAAATTCGAAAAGTGGTCGGAACATTTTATTTAGTTACAAATATTTATTAAGACACTCAAAATCAATTTCAACACTTGCTCTGATTTGAATAAATTTTGCGTGACCCGAGGATTCGATTGTTTTTTTTTATATTATTTTACTTAAATATGATTTTCAGCCAACTGAGATAATCAAAATGATTGTTTGTGTAATTTATCCTGCGTATAAAAATTGGAATTTTTTCATTTTTTTCCAATTTCTGTACGATTGAAAGATTTCTTTTGCAACGTTTTCAATCAATCTCCACATCTGAAATTTGTATTTAAAAAAAATTAAATTGCAGTATTTTACAATTCAGGGTGAATGACGACTATAAGAAGTGAAATGTTGGTTCTTGAGTGGAAATCAATTATTGATTATTCATAACCTCTGCATATGTAGAAGTGAAATGACAAATTTCAATAAATCTGGCCCAAATCTGTAGATTATAGACACATGGCTGTTTTGTAATTTAAAAAATTGTAATTACAATGGAAGATGAGACTGCAGAATTTCTCCTGAAAATGAAAATTCGATTTCAAAGACCATGATCGATCAATTTAAAAAACTCTAAAAAATGCTGAACACTGATTTCAATTTTTTTAAATCCTATATATACATATACTGTATATATGCTTGTATTATTTCATTCTTCCCTAGAAAATTTTTTCTTTTATTTTCTATTAAAATTATTAATATTAAAATTACAATAGGAACAAAGCTATAAAATTGACAATTAAAGACATCTTCTAGATTCCAGAAAGTCCAGAATGAGCATCTGTCAATTATATTGTACATGAAAAGCTGTCAATTATTTCTAGACATTCGAGAAACCTTTTTCATAGGCTATGATCAATCAAAGATGAGCAGCTGATGCTTTTTTTGGGAAATGACAACCCAAGGTTATTTTTTCCAATAACCATTTTTATACCAGCATGTGCATAAAATCTAATAGTCCTTGCTAAAACTAATTTTTTCTGCAGAAATAAATGGTGATGTATATTTCCAGAATCACATGAAATCTCAAAGATTGAAAGAATGAACTTGAGAGAAATCAAGTTTAACATTACTTGCTCATCAATATTTATCTAAAATTCCAAGTTAATAACTTGAAACTACGTAAGTCTTTTACCTTTTGTATTAAAGTGAATATTTCTAGGGTGAGTCAAGCTAAGTCATGTTTTGTAAACCAAAAAACTATCTTGAACTTCTTTTCTTTTTTTTAACTTGCTGAGGCAATACTGAACAGTATTCATGAAACCAGCATATAGGGAATAAATTTGAGCATATTTTCTGAGTTTGATTGCTTTTTAAATTTATGTAGTTGAATCTATCTAAGTCAAAGTTAGAGGGGCTAAAAAATATTTTCTCAGAGGAGTTCTTCATGTGCTGAGGCAAGAAAACTCATCTGATTTTTCTAAAACTTTTCCAAAGCATATCCAAAAGGGAACATTGGTGATATTTTAGCCTCAAACTACTGATGCTGGGTCAAGAAGTCAGAAAGAATCTGGACTTTAAAGAAGGAGTACATTTTCCACATAAGACTTATTTAATTTATTTAGGAAAGTATTGAGTTGTTACAATTTTATTGTTCCTACATTTTCTTACTTCCAGCAATTAGATAATATTAGTGTTCAGTTGCTATCTGAATATAAAACATGTTAAAAGACTCATAGCTGCTGGCAGACCACAATAATGAATTCCTTCTTAGATCTGTTGGTTATATTTTTCTATTTTGAAAGAATATACTATGTGGCAGTTTTAATAAGATTCTAGCTTGGTTAGTTGGTTGATGTGAATCTAGTTCAATTAAATTAGTTTTCAGTCTTCCTCTCATAGGAGGAATGCAGATTTTGTAAGTAGCAGGGTGATTCCATAGGTGAGCAAAATATCAGGCAATCTTTTATGGGGGTCTTTGTTTTTCTTGTGCCAAATTTTGGTACAGTATTACTTGAAATTGACTTCATTGGATTTTGGACAGAAAATTAAGAAACTTCAGACATTTTCTTGAAACATGGAGGTTAAATGAGTCAGCAGGGTACAATGGAGATGCTCATGCTGGGAATTAAAGGAAAGCCAACCAAATAATGGATATTGAACAGGCAACCCCTGCAATCAGCCAATTTGTGTCTCAGAACATATATTGAAGAAGACACTTTGAATAAATTTTCCTTGTTTTTCCAGAATGATTAATTGTGTAATTTTATGGCAAATGAATAACCACATTCACACAGAACACAGAAATTCCAAAAAAAAGTGAATGAAAAGAATTAGCACACAAATCCAAATAAAAACACAGCTACATAAGTATGTAACTTTGAAAAAGGAATAAGAATAAGTGATTATTCACAATGAATGTTGTATGTATAGACTGCTTTTCAATTGAAATTCAAGTTTGGACAGAATAAGGAAAGTAACCATCACTGATGGAGCTTTCCTCACTGGGATTCTCTCCAAAAAAAATAGTTAGTTCACATAAACATAGTTCAATTGAATGTTTTTCTAAGATTTCCCAGTTATTCATCACTTATTGTCCTCTCACAAAGGAAGAAATAGTTTCAAAAGTATGAGGGTGATTCAGTGGGTGAGCAAAATATCAGGAATATTTTCTTGGGCTCTCCTTTTTTTCATGTGCCACTTCTGGTACATGACATCAACTACATGGCTTTCAAAGGGTTTTTGAACAGGAATCAAAGGGAACATTTCACTTGAGGAATTATTTGACTCAGGGAGTTTTGAGTGACTAAAAATAAGGCACAACTGTTGAATAGAAACATTCAGTTTTTTTGGTTGAGAATTTCAAAAATCTGGGACAGGTCCAACTTCATTTCTTGTCTCTCATTGTGATTTGGAGCCTCTAATATATAACAATAAATGAAGATATGCATGGAATGAAGAATCCTGGGTCAGTAAAGTAATCAAATCTATATAGGAGATGATGAATTATTATTTGTCTCTCAAGCAGTTAACCCATGGACAGCAGCAGAGGGTTCCCTGGCCATCATGTGGCAAAGTTGGGAATTTTGGGGGGAGGGGAATTTCAGTTTGACAGAATAAGGTCATCAATATGCCACCATGTTGCCAAGGCCAAAGTCAGGAAAAATCTGGGTACAGAAAATCCCATTGTCTCAAGAAATCCCCAATTATGTTAATTTTATGCAGGGAATGCATGAAAAAACACCACTCAATGAGAATTTTTTGCAAACATTTTCTGCAAGATTATACAAAAAATATTTTATTGGAATTTTTCCTGACTCAATGAGAATTTTTTTGCAAAAATTTTCTGCAAGATTATATAAAAAATATTTTATTGGAATTTTTCCTGACTCAATGAGAATTTTTTTGCAAAAATTGTCTGCAAGATTATATAAAAAATATTTTATTGGAATTTTTCCTGACTTTAATATGGTTTAAAAATCATATTTTTATTTATTTTCAGCCCTCATGGGGACAAAGTATTCCAACTTTGCTGCTGCACAAGGGTTGAGAGTACACTAACTGCCTGGATTTAACCTTCACTGATGATTGTCTCCATACTATTTGATCATGGTTGGACTCATCAGGAAAGTTGATTTTTAGAAAACTTGATGTATCTCTCACCAGTGACTGGTGCCCTGGTCTCCTTGGAGAGGCGCTTGCCTCTGGCTGTTGGCATCTTATTCCTCTTCCTCTTCTTCTTCTTCTTCTTCTTCTTCTTTTATCTCTCTATAGACCTCTCCTTTTGAACTTGTTTTTTCTCTTTCCTTTTGTCAAGAGTGTATAGCTGCTATAGTTGATGAACCTTTGCTCACTCACTCACACACACTGAAAAGTCTTGGATTGGACTCTCGCACTCACTCACTCACACTATGGCTGTTGGTTTTCTCCCACAATGACACGCACACACTCACGACAAAAAAGACATGCGCACGCTTGCGGTGATTCGGATAGATGGCAGCCCTTGTAGTTTGTGAGTTTGGAATTTTCTTTTTTGCTTGTGTGTTTATAATTTGAAAATGTCGAGTCACTTGGCTGTCCAATCCATTTCCGCGCTGAAACAACCCTTGACTGCGTCAATTTTGGCAAAGGAGAAAATTTGCATGAGAATGAAGGTCAAATGACAATTTTTCTCTGTGTTAACATTCTACGTTAAAAACTGTGAACTATAAGAAACTTAGTAACTGCACCAAAACAAATCCTGACCTTCTTTTGAAAAAAAATCTAACTAAACAACTAAAAAAAAACCTAATGTGAGTTTGCAAAGAATGATTTGAATGATTATCCATCAATAAATTGAACGTAAAAAATTGAGAAATATTTATTTCAATTTTTTCGCTCTCCCTCGTGAAGCTTTTTAAAATATCAAATTTTTATGAGTTATTTAAATTCGAAGCGAATATCTTACCGAAGAAAACCTTCAGTCAATAAAAGAAAATTCAGAGTTCTAACTTTTCAAAAAACCTCAAAAGTAAAATTTTTCCTTTTGGTGAAGATGCAAATTCATTTTCGTATCTTTTAAATCAATCAATCAAAAATATATTGGTTACTAGTATACGCAAAAATGTACAAAACTGTTATTAGCTACCTCTTGGAAAATATTCAGATAAAATATGTTGAAATAAAAACGTGATAGAGCATTTTAGAAATTTGAAATTCAATTTGATGAATACTGATGATTTTTATTTTAAATTAATTTCAAAAATGCCAAACGGAATCACAATAAACTTCATTTCAAGAAGCCACTGGCGCACAATTCAAATACTGTACATATTTTACAAGAATTTTCAACTTTTTCATGAAAACCCGACGAATAATCCTTGTCACAAAATAGGAAAACCAAAAAAAAATTTCCACTCCAGAGCTATTGAACATTTTTTTCATCCACTGTTTTCAACATTTTGAAATTCGAAGATGAGGAAAATCTATTTTATTTTTTGTGAAGTGCATCGAATTTTACGGGGTTGGATATGTTTAAAATCTGTTAAAATTCGTAACAGCAAAGAGTATCATTGTACTGTAATAATAAGCTCTTTGAAAATTTTCGTATACAGCATACTTATAAAATTAGTGGAGTTACAAAATTCAAGACAAAAAATATTTTTTCCAAATTCTGGAACTCGTTTTTTTCAAAAAGCCTCAAGTTGAAATAAATTCATAGTTTTTCAACTTGAAAGCAATAAATAATGTAAATAATCTTTATCTGGACTTTTATGGGGTTGAAAACTATTCATAAGAAAACAGATTCATTATAAAGAATTTTGAAAACATGAAAATCTCCGGCAAATAATCACAAGCACGAGAAATTTTTAAGTGAAAATTATGTCCTCATTCCAGCGTTTTCATTTTTTCTCACTAAAAGCTGACAGAAACGCACTGTTTTCAACTTTGGGATCTTGAAAGCAAAACATAAACATTCATTTTTTTTTAAATTTCACAATGGTTTTTTTTTTCAAGTGTTCCTCCTAAAAATTGCACCAGCATTTTGTCCGTGGCTTGGAGTGGGAAGTCCGGAAGAAGTCTGGACTGAGACTGGCGGCCCCGGATCCGAGCCAGAGGATAATCGGGATCCGGAAGTGAACTGGGTTCTGCTTTCTTACCCCCCCCCCCCCTCAACGGAAAAGGAGGAATGACCAGACCTTGTCAGTGTANGGCTGTAGAAGGACATCTGTGATGAATTAAAGCCTTGGAGGCTGCTGACCATCTGTGGGAACCAAGGTTTTCCGAGATTCCCACACAGATACGAATGAAAGACTAAATTCGTCGGGGAATTCGGGTTCTCCAAAAGCTAGCGTATCGAATTTAATGTATCCGTTGAAATATTCGCGACAGGGCTGCTTTGCTAAGTCATTGTTATGGTCCACAGGCCCAAAAAGGTTGGAGAACTACACTTATGGTCTATATACTCCCATATATAGTTGTATTTCATCAAGTGAACTTCAATGGGATCCTAACACTTTTTGATTCAATTACAGTCAACCTCTGCACAACAGACCTCACACACAATGGATTTTTGCACAACAGACTGCCTCGGGGGGCAGTTTGCCCTCCCTTGCAATGGACTAAATCCACAAAATAGACTTCTGTTGGTTTAAAATTAATGGTACAGTACCGTGAAAAGTAAAAACTTTAATTTTTGAATGATTGAATTCACATAACAGACTTCTCATACCACAGACTGGTCTGTTGCACAAATTAAGTACATTGCATCAGGGTTGACTGTTTTTGAATGGCAGCATTTACTGTATTTTGAGTTGGTTAATCAGTGGACACTCATTTTTATTTTTTGTGAATGAATGAACAGAACACTTCATTTGCCTCTTTTCAGCGTTCACAAGGTTCAATCAACAGTTCCACATCCAATCGCCCTCCCCACCCAACCCAAATCCACTCAAAGATATTTAATCACTTCAGAGCAGGAAACAGAGCACAGATGGATCACAAAAATAAAAGAAAATACAATCCACAAAATACAACTGGACATCTGACATGCATGCATACACACATTCCTTCCGTGACATTGAAAACAAAATACTGTATCAGTAACAATTAATTTAAAGCACAAGGTATTCAGCTCGTTTCTGTACCAACTGTATTTTGGCTGAATTTTGTGAATATGAATAGCTCAATTTGGTCAAGAGACATCAGAATAAAAAGAATCCATTTATTTTTTTATTCTTCTGGATATGTTGGAAAATTTTGTATCTACAGTAATGACATTATTGGCTAGATGTTAGGGCAGATTTTTTCTCTTCAGTTTCAAGTATCCCTAAGTTAAATTGTACATATTACCCAGATTATGCCAGGGTGTCTGTGTATGTTAAGGTCACTCTATATGTACTGTATATAAAAAAGGGCGAAAATCTAGATTTGGAGCCCGTCCCCAGCGGACACAGTTTCTCAGGCTGGACAAGTTTTGGGATCCTGAAAACACAGGTTTTTCAAGGTCCTGTGGTCAGACATGTTTCCCTCACACTTGTCCGCTGCACCTGTCCGCAAAGAACCTCCTTTTTTGCCAAGACCTTTTTTTTTCTTTTTTTTTCTTCTCTCATTCCCGCCTGGTCTTTCTTTTATTAATAATGCCTGCTCGGTTCCGACTTGCCTCGGGTCATTATTATCATTATCTTCATTATTATATACACTTTTTTCTGTCTCTCTCTGGTTCTCTTTCCTCAGCTCAGGCTCAATTATCTCCTACAGTTTTTTTACATTTTATTTTTGAGCGCAGCAGCTGCAGCATGTGTTTCAGTCTGCGCAACACGATTTTAGAAAATTTCTTACACAGTAAAATGTTAATTCAATGACTAAGTTATGGGGGATAAAAGTTCCAGATGACATTGGAATCCAAACAATGTGTTTTTATATTTGCAAGACAAATTGAATTGAATTATTCTTTTTTTTAGAATGAGTTATTATTACTGTACCATATTCATCCAAGTACACAAAACATCCTCAGTTATATAAGAAAGACACACTCTTAGATTTTTCAGCTTATAAATTTGATAATATCCTATCCCAAAGTGTGACAATCACCCCATGTCTTAGTGATACTATAAAGCTGGAATGCTGTATTTCAAAAATAAGATGACACACCAAAATAGGACTATTATATAAACATGAATTGAATATTAATTCAGTGAATTTTCATTTGTTTCTGTGAGAAAAAAAATGATGTTGAGATTGACTAAATTTTGCAATTTTAATCAAGTATAATGTGTACACCTAAGCTTTTGAAAGTTTTTGAAAATTGCTTCCTCTCAATAATCCTCTGAATTTTTAGGAAAAAGGGCAGATGGTACTTGAGTGAATATATACAGTGATAGAGAGTGTACTTTTGACATCATCTGAGAATGAGCTTTTTTTTTAAGGTTATTATTTCAAAAATTAGAAACACAAGAATTTGAATTTAAATATGAATATAGAACCTGAATTTCTAATTTTCTCTTCAAGATAATTTTTTGAGATTGGTTAAAATTTTCCCATTAGAATCAAAAATGATGCGCATATAAACCTCCAAAACTTTTTTGAAATTTTCATAACTATTTGGAAAGAACATTTTCCCTGTCTTCTCTGAATCTTAAGGAAAATTAAGTACAAATGGTACTTGAGCAAGTGTGGTATTACATGTACTGTATTTGGAAAAATGAAAACTCTTCAGGAAGCTGTTCAATGTGCATCACAACTGTGTACAGTATAAGTTTCAAAATGCCAGAAAGCAAGAGAAGGATTATAACAAAAAGGATCAGCAGTTGACAGCCCATTCATGTTCCTAAAGATTGCAAACTAGTGTGACTTTTGAATACAGTGTTGAAATGCTTTTAATGTGAGATAAGCAGTCAGGATAGTGTTGCAAGGACTACTTTTTTATGGATGCAGTTCATACTGCTGATTGCTAAGTTCAGAAAAGCAATTTTCAGAGAATGGCTCAGTATAAAGAAATTGTCAAGGTTTATATATAGATAGTTATTGGTGTTTTTTTTTTACAAGTTTACTGTTGAAACTGGCTTGTGGGATTTGAAGGAAGTTTATTGCCACCATTTCATTTTCAAGGTGACAAAAGGATAAGTTTTTCTACTTGTTGATTTTTGTTTGGGTGCTTTCCTGTTTTTTTTTATTTTTAATTGCTTTTGGTTCTTTTTTGAATGGGTTCATTTTTTCTGACTGTTTTCCATTTGTGGTTTTTTTCTTTCTTGTTCCTTTTTGCCTGCATATATGAACGTTTTTTTTTTCTGTGTGTACACTTGTTTACTTTCTGCTGTCTGGATGCTTTTTTCCTTGACTTTTCGCTTGAGGGCAGGTTATTTTTTGGGTTATGCGCTTTTCTTTTGGTTTTTTCCCTGGTTTATTTTTTTCTATCCAACCAGTAGAATTCTGCTACAACAAATCTCGTTATAACAAATTTTTCTTGGTCCTACCAGTTTGCCATACGCATAATGTTATAAAACTCTTGTTTCAACAAAGTAATTTTAGGCGGTAATATCATTACAACACATTTTTGGGTGTAATTATGTGCATAGGCCATATGGGATTACTTGATGATTGGCAGAAAACCTAGAAAAATTTTCAAAGATGCATATATTCCAACTTCAT